AAACTTGTCCTACGTCAGGTTACGCTCACGAAAAATATGCCTTTATATAGAAAAACGATGCAATTTTTGTTTTCTATAATAAAAACAAGAACAATTTGGTGATCGCTTTTCCATAATGCAAAAGGGATGAAAGTAAACTTTCGTATTTTTGAGATTTTCTTCCGTAAACCTGAAACTTGCTACACGTACTTCACTGATGTGCTAACGTAAAGAGAACCACTCCAATGCCTTCCTTTTGTTGCCCTAAGTAGTAGTTGCGTTGACTAGAGCTCATTCCTCATATTACTCCTTACTATTACATATTGTAAATATTTGATCTTCTTTTTTATCGATTTCTTTGTTTCGCATGGTTTTTTGTGCGCATTTATAGTTACATATCGACTCATTGTTCATCTAAAATTTTCTGCAACACATTAGAAAAAATGTACCCTAAAACAATGGCCTAGAGGCGAATGATAGTCATTGCATTGATTAAGCGCACTAAACGCATTTGGAGATGGTTAACGCACAAGACCAACATTCAATGTTCAATTCACATTTTTACAAGTTCGAGAATTCAAACAAGACCGAGCAAGTAGTTAAAGCCACCTCAAAATTCCGATTTGCACATTTACAGCTATGTCTTATACATTCGTTCTCTGTTGTAAGCAGACCGAGAAGCAATGCGTACGTCTGACAAAGTATTATGCTTTGTTAGTCATGCCAGTTTTGGCTTAAAGTCTCCTGCTGTACCACAAACGAGATGCGAAGACTAGACTACCCCATTTCAATTGTAGCGCACCTAAAAAACTACTTTTGTATGGCATAGAAAGCGTAACAAATAAGTCTTCAACTAATAAAAATATAATAGAAAGCAAACAATCGTGTGCAATAAATATGGATTTTGTTATGAATTTTAAAGCATTTATTGTCTTTCTTTATGAAAATTTACGCTACTTTAATGTATTGTTTGAACGCATATCCTGGCTATAAAAGAATGCAAAAATTTATTTGTTAACTCTCAATAAATTTTATAAAGTTCTTAACGAACTCTTTCAGTGTCGAATAATGATTTTATTTTACTCTTTAAAATTGCTAGATGGGAAAATCAGTTAAACGGCGTAAACGAATCGACCAGAATTAACACAAACACACAGATGCGTCGTCTTGTTTTTTTTTTTTTTGATTCAATATTTACATCCTTAGACAAATGCTAGTCTCTTATCATAAGGAGTTTGTTCGTCATCACAATAATCCGAAATGGCTTAGCCGTGTCCATCTCTCCGTTCACCGATATGTTTTTCTTCTTATCATTCTCTATCTCTCTCTCTCTCTCTCTCTCTCTCTCTCTCTCTCTCTCTCTCTCTCTCTCTCTCGCTCTCTTGTTCACAGTTTAGGGAACGAGCAAGTTAAAACATTCTAATGAAGGTAAGTCAATTTTTAAACGCTATACACGGCTTCAGTTTCTTTCTTCGAAATATATGAAAAATTGGACCTATCGCCATATAAAAACTTACTTCTCAAGCGAACCTTTACATGGGTCCTTCAAAATAGATATATGGACTGCAGAATCCTATCATACAAATTAGACTTTGTTAACATATAAAAGCTTCCTTTTTATTAGACCTTTATTAGAGGGAGACGTTCAGAAAATACTACAATTCCACTCAAACTTTCCGCATTCGTTTAGTGGACCATTTTGACCATTTAGTAGACCATAGCTATTTATCATCGGTTTTTATTGAAAATTGTTAAAGACTTGGAAAATTCCTTCATATCCATATAACGCTATTTTGGAAGCGGGTCGCAGCAATGCTCCGTTTCGAACTACTATCACACTAAGACATAAAAATTTGATTTGTTAGACTGAATACACCAAGATATGGATAGGACATCAGGCGGGCAAGGGGACGGGTAAGTTAATGTATTATTGCCTGAATCGCTGATATTTCTACGGAAGGACTGATTGTCGCAACTAACATATCAAATAATTATATATCTTCTCATTTTATTATCATATTTTTAAAAGAATTCTTTTATCAATCATATAAGGAAACCTTCACTATCTGTTCTTATATCCTATAGCACTTGTGGTACACAAGTGGTTGTGGATTAAATTTGTTGGAATATATGAAACACCCACAAGGCCTTGGCCTAGAGCCAGCTATACCTAAGCCTATCTGTGAGTTCACTCGTTTCTCCGTATAACTTTATATTCAATCCATTGGTCGCATTCTTTTAGAGATTTGACATCTAAGCTCGTTCTAACGTCAACCCGCAAATCAATGTTTTGATAAAATTGTGGCATACCGCTATAACGCTATTGAATATTTCGAAAAATCTTTACCTAAATAACATGGTTAAGCGAAGTGTTGTAGGGTACTCAATGGTCGGCACTAACTCACTGAAACCCATGGTCAGAACTTTTTCATAGCCACGCGAACCTTTTTATTGCAAAATATAGTAAAAAAAATCGCACTTCTTCACGCAATAACTGAAAAGCCTTAAGTTTTGCTTGCGATGAAAATTTAACACTTAGTTTATTAATTTTTCTTGCTTTTCATAAAAACAAAAAAATCGTATGATAAACAGCAATTGAGGGGAGAGTAACAATTAAATGAAACATAATGTTTCATTTAAAGAAAATTTGTTCGAAAGTTTACTTAATTACTTCTTTTTTTTATCTTTTTCCTTTCCAGCGTTAACATATATACATAACATCAAAATGATTTTAAAAAATAGATAGTAATAGCTGTTGTCTTTGAATCCATTGACAGCAGATAATAAGGACCAGACGATGGATAAGATAAGGATGGCTTTGATGCTGACAGTGATGCTTATATTGGTGTTAGCGGTGAAGATGTCGACTTTAATGATAATTGCAGCGGTGAACTCCACTAAGGCACTCTAATACGATCTTAGCTGAATCTACGATATAGTATTAACCGGAAGAAATATTCTCAAGCCACATAGGAAGAGGTGAAAACATTTTGACGAGGCGAGCAAAGTTGGCAGTTTGGACATAACTTGTGGACACATGGCATTTGATAGACACGCATCTCCACTAGACAAATTTGATTGAAACATGGCAACAATTTTTAATTTATGCATCTTTTGACATTTCACTATGCCAAAGAAAACAACCACTGTCACTTTATCCAGGTTTGATGCAGGCCACTTGGAGTTGCTCGGTTTTGTGGAATGTATTGCCATACTTCGCCATCATACCCAGGGAACACGTTTTCAAATGTACTACCGTCATCATATCCCCGGGTTGCCAGAGATCCCTTCCTATCCAGTTTTCTTGATTCTTTGGGACCCATTACATCAAGATTCCTGGGCTCCTTGGTCGCCTGGATATGAAAATAGATGGCGATAATGCTTCTGAAAAAAGACTGATCGGTTCCCTGGATGTGATGGTAGGATATGACCATATATTTGGAAAATGCGAGCAACGCCAAAAGATCCATGACTCAAATCTGGACAGACTGACAGTGAGTGTTTTACTTGGTATAATGAAATGAAAAAAGACAAAATTAAGAATCATGGCCATGTTTCAACCAAATTTGACTAGTGAAGAATATTCAAAAATTCTACATATACACAAAGCATGACACCTAAAACATATTAAATCGTGTAGTTTTCTTTTTGATTCAATCTCTATACAATTTATAATTAACAATATTATGTTAAAGTTAGCTCAATTAAGATAAATATTGTTAGTTATATTTTCTTAGAAAAATGTACTTACGTCAGATAAGCAAACAAAAATTGTCTTTAATTTTGATGAAATAAAACCAATTTATGCAATTTCTTTCAACTTAAAATGTACATTTTTTACTTTAAAATGCCTAAACTGAAGCCAATGAACAAAAGCATATAAGCGAAATTCCTTCCATATCAAGTAACTGTCTAAGCAACTAAGAGTAGACGGACGGAAGGATGGACACTTAGACAGTGAGATTGATCTGACTAAAATGGCTGGAAACTTTATTTTCACTGTCGCGGGCATGTGGGAGTCGTAATGAAAACGATAGTCTACAAAACGCCTTTCCGTGAATCGAACAAAGGCTTGACTCTAGCGAACCCTAGCAACTCCCTTATGAAAATGCGCCAAATTAATTCTCCATAAAAAGCTCAACAATGTCATCTTTCCCTTTCCAAGATGAAGGAGAAAGTTAATTTTACTCCCTCACCCTATTGTCGATGCGTTTATTTTAAATCAGCCGAAATCATTTCTAATCAGAAATATAAAATTCCCGGTTTTCAAATGCGTCTAAAGTGTTTCAAAATTGTTAACAGATTTTATTTGAAAGAAAACAAATAGGAAAACTATATTCGACTGGGGCCAAATCACGCGTACCCACCACCATTATCTTCCACCTTTTAGTTGACTAACGTTTGCATAACCAAAATAAACAAGTAACAATATTAAATTAGTCGTGACCGAATCTTTTATATCCATCACCATTTAATTCTAAAATCTGCGATCTGCTGGATAAAATTTTTCTTAATAATAACAGCGATATGGGTATCAAATAAAAGAACATGGAGAGTAGAATGCTAAAAATATAGTGGCTGGGGCTCTCTCCTACAGACTTGGTCTATTAGATGATGGCGCTGGACTAGAGCTTCAGCTTCACGTAATCGATGATGAACCCATACTACAAAGTGCTGGACTTCCGGAATGATGCTGAGTTAGATGACCCCTAATTAACCCCTAGTCCTCGTGAAGATAAACCTTCTTAACGTTGCAAATGGTAGAGAAGCCATCCAGCCGCTGCATTTTGAGGCTATTGAATATTGACTTATTCTAAGATTTTCATCATCTGATCATAAATTTATTAAAAATATAGCAAAATTGCGAACATATAGTACCTAAATTAGTCGATTTGTCGTGCAACTTTCGGAAGCGTTTTACATTTATCAAAACCTACGCAACATAAATATATATTCGCATATTTTCGTTACTGCTTCTTTTAGTTCTATTCTCAATAGGTAATTTTGAATGTGTATTCTCTCACCGCGAATTCTGTTAGAATTGCCATACTGAAAACCTTGCGGATATTTATGCTGAATTAATAATATTAACAGCTGTTGCAACTAGATTGTTTACACTAAAAATAGAATCGGCGAAAATATATGAAAAAATCATGACAACTTGAGCTTAGTTTAATGTTAAAATATTTTGAATAAAAAACTTTCATGGCTAAGACTGGACTAGCAACAATAAATTGGTTATTTATATGCGGTCTAGCATTTTGTTTAGGAGGTGCGGTGGTGCTCAGTTTATTGCCAATGGGACCGATGGCAACTGGTTAGTAAATTTCACATGAAATATAAATGAAATTCATGTGTAATCATACATCTTTTAGATTGCACTTGCCCTTTGAGTGGAGTTAAACCAGTTATCAGCGATATCTTAAAAGGAACACCTGCCAATCGGCATCAGCAGTCTGCGCACAGTATGGCTGTATTAGTTCCCTTCAGAGACCGTTTTGAAGAGTTACTACAATTCGTGCCACATCTTACTAAATTTCTAGAGCGCCAAGGTGTGGCTCATCATATATTTGTCTTAAATCAAATAGATCGCTATCGTTTTAACAGAGCTTCGCTCATAAATGTGGGTTTTCGCTTTACGAGTGCAGTATATGACTACATAGCAATGCATGACGTTGATTTACTGCCTCTCAATGACGAATTGCGGTATGAATATCCATCCGATGCTGGACCTTTACACATAGCAGCTCCAGAACTGCATCCTAAATATCACTATGAAAATTTTGTAGGAGGCATTCTTTTAGTAAGGACAGATCATTTTGAAGCCATGAACGGTATGTCGAATAGGTATGTCAACACATTTGATTAGACATATTTGATCCATTACAAAAAAAATATAAGAAAATATGTTTCATTTAAATTATTGATGTAATATATTGCAGATATTGGGGTTGGGGTCTAGAGGATGATGAGTTTTATGTGCGTATTCGTGACCAAGGATTGCGAGTGATCAGGCCAAAAAATATCACAACTGGCAGGAATGATACATTTAGGTAACGTTTTTGACTTTTGCTAACAATTGTTTGTAGAGTTGTTGGTAATTATAGCCACATACACAATCGTTACCACCGCAAACGTGACACGCAAAAGTGTTTCAATCAGAAGGAAGTCACACGCAAACGCGACCGTAAAACAGGTCTAAAGACATTGAAGTACAGAATTCCTAGTGTGCATGCCATGTCCATAGATGGCATAAATATTACCATTCTGAATATCGTTCTTGAATGCGATATCAATGAAACTCCTTGGTGCGACTGTTCAGGTACTCAAGCGTCTGCAGCATCAAATAATTGATAACAGTTGGTATTTTTTTTGTAGTCGTTCCCTTTTAGGCAATAAATTGTTGATTTTTTTTAATGAAATGTTTCTTTAATATACATGTACCATTCCATATAAAAAAGTCCAAAATAGTACATAGGTGCAAAGGGCGCCCATAAAACTATTAGTCAGCAAACTCTGTCGGCTAATGAAATATTTACGCCATTGTGTACCCGATTTTTTTAAAACCAAAAGCCACAAAACTAGCACCGAAAGGAAATAGAACAGGAAGCCCATCAGCCCGCTAAGACCTAGAATACCTAAAACATTTAGAAAGTGAAAAATAGAGAACGTTACATCCATGCATTAAAATATGTCTGAAAACATGCCTGCAGCAGAGCCGGCGATGGCTGCCATTGATGTACGACAATATTCCACAACCGAAGTATTGTTTCTAATAGCACTCTCGCTGTAGGCTATTATATCTGTTGCGCCCGATCTAGTGCGTTGCATTTTATTATTCACAGGATTCAAAGAAAAGTTATATATTTAATACAAATCTTGCACTGTCTTTTTGGTATGTTTCTTAAAGTAATATTTCATATACGACAAGAACAGCTGATAATATTTATTCGATAACTACGATAAGTACGAATCTACTGGAAAAAAAGTACGTTTTGTAATGAGAAGATTTCAGTGATTAGTTGGCATCACTTGCTGGCATACTGTACTCTGAAAGTAGTTTATTTTTTGAGGGTTAATTATCAAGTAAAAATTTCCGATTTTGATTTTCATTAATAAGTTTTTGTTGTCTGTGACTTATTAACTACCAAGTGAAAAAACCAAATTCAATATCTTCATTTTTGCGACCATGAGAGTATCAACAGCACACACCACACAAACGCACAGACAGACAGACATGGCTTAATCTGTAGGGTTACTCATTAAATGTACCTAGAAATTTTTTTCGATACATCGGTTGTATTTTAGGAGCAAAGACAGAAAACCCCAGAACTGGAAATACCAAATACAGGAGCCACCTAGAAATTCTTTTAAGAAACTAAGTGTAAGGGCTACAAAAGTAATTTTGATTGTGAATCTTTCAACGGTGTTTGTTCCTTGAGCAAACCAAGAAACTTGAGTAATATGTTATCCGTACCTTCGTTGCTCTACGACTTTGATGCTTGCTCTATGCATACCTTACAACAGATGACAAGCTTTGGCTGCTCTAGAGGTTAGGGAGCAACTCGCTCGCACAGCCAATTTTCCAGTTTCTTATCATTGCAATACTTGTTGTCATAGTAATGAACCCAGGATTCTTCTTTTTTACTTCGATCTTACGCAAACTGAAGATCATGTCAAATTACTAGTTTTTGTTTAGACAGCAGGGAGGAAAATGCGGAGGTTATTATCCCCCAATGGGATGCGAATTTTAATGAATTAGAACAGAGTATTTTTGAAATTAGAGAATTCATTAAAATAAACGAAGGAAGGGAAATGAATGAATGGAAAATCCAGCATATGAGGGATTTACAGAATATGGAAATGGGAATATGTGCTTTAGTACAGAGAAACCCTCCCTTTCTCCCTTCTACATACCTCCAACTTCATCGATCTCTTTCTAGTAAAGCAACGGAAGAAGGGGAAAATTTTTGTAGAAATTTTTCAAGTTCTTAAGTTATTGAATAATTTCTGGCATGTACAAAACTTTCCAATTAAATGTCTGACCATTTCGAAAACATTTCAGTTTCGCAAGAGCGATTTAAGAAAGAACTCTGACTTCGGTTAGTCTACGTTTACGATAGCATCAGCTCAGATCATCGAACCTGTTCAATATGTTGTCCGCCTATTTAGCATCAGCATTACTACTCTTCATTTGGGAACCTTATCAGTGCAAAGCCCGTTTAAAATTTCATTTCTCGTCACGTGATTGCCTCTCTGATGACAACAACAAATTTAATTCCCAGCCCAAGAGAAGAGTGGACTCAACAACCAAATAATTTGCTAAATCTTTTATCTAACTCTTCAATTGCGGCTCGCCATCTCACAGTATGGAAACTGGCAATGCCATCGGGTGATAATGATGCAATCTTGATGTCATTAAACTTCTCGGTTGAGTACAAACCTTTTAATTTATTGACTAAGCTGGAATATAAAAAAAAAAAAAAATACCCGCAAGACCTATTATTAGTAACTTAACAGTTGGCCAACAAATACATTTATTCGTTATGGATTGATGGATGATTTTATTGTTTATAGGTGAAAAGGTTATTAAAAAAAAAAAATGAATTTTGTCAGCAACCAATAACGCTGGATTATTGCACAGTTTTTAAGGATAGTAAGAATTTCAATAAATTTTGTTCAATTTATAGATTTTAAATATTATGTAACGAAAGCAGCTTTCACATAATTTTCAAAGTTTATTTTTGCTACGTCCGTGCGAAGAAGAGTTCCGATATATTTACTTTTTTCTTCACAGTCCTTCACTCTCAATAACAAATAATTCTGTGAAATTAATTAATTAACGTTAATTTCACAAAATTAAAGTTGTTAATAAACTTCACAAAATTAATGTTAATCAATTTCACAATTGTAAATCTAACATTAATTCCACCTTATTATCTCTATCTTAGAGAGTCAGCTGTGTTTATGCGAATGTTTTTATTAAGGCTATCATTATTTACTGCGCGTACGGGGGCTAGTTTCGGAATACTTGTGAACAGCAGTTTTATGCTTCTGCGTGTGTGGAGCAAAGCAATCCTCGCCAATGGATGTATCGGATATCGTGGTCCTTAAAGATGAAGTTGTCTTACGATTGGTCTTTCGGCAAACACAAGTTACACTCGCTGAATCTGTTAATACAATTTGACCAGGTTTCGTTTTTTTCTTCCGTGAGCACTTCTCATATTCTTCTTCATCTCTATCGGATACGTAGCCACTGGTGTCTTGGTCTTCGCATTTTTTCTTGTTGCAATAATATCGAGTTATGTCGGAATTATCAGTTCCTACACTAGCGCAAACGTACTTACGTCTCGTAGGCGTAATCTCTACTAAAGAAGAAGAGTACCCTGCCGATTCACGTTTACCGGTCTCGCGATCACGGCCATCGTACGCATTATCTTCAACTTCATCTTTGGACCTTCGATTGAAGGCGTAAGAATTTTGTGAAACTGCTGGGCTGTCAAGATCATTGCAATAGCATTTAGCTTTGCCGCAATTGCGCAAACAGCTTTTTTTTTTGCCATTCTCTTGTAAGCTTGCTCGCGGTCTCGTGCCATCGAATTCAGTGCTGCCACTTGACATTAATTCATTTAAATCGTCATTCATTACAAATTTACAACAAAAGCATTTCCGGGGTCGACCGTCATTTTCTGTATCAACAGCGAAACAGCACATCTTTTTCGGCTTCATGTCCTCTTTTGAGTCGTTCATAATGCAACATTGCATCTCCTTATCCTCAACTGTGCTGTAATCAGTTTCTGATATTCTGGTAGCGGATCTGTATTCTGGTATTCTAGACTGTTCCGGTCTAGGTTCATTTAATCTGGTAGACGACCCTTCTTCTAAAATTCTGGAAGCAGATCTTGGTGCGTCCTCTTTTTTGTTTTGAATATCTGATATAAATTCCAACAGTAGACGAAACTGTCGCAAATTGTTATCACTTTGTTCTGTTATTTCTGAAAAGGAAACCATTGCAAAGAAACAAAGCAAACAAACCGATACAAAGTTAAAGCAATCGATTATGAGAGAGAGTAAGAGAGAGAGAGAGAGAGAGAGGGTCACTACTATTACAATGTAATATGATAATGATAATGCAAAAGATGTGGCTTTCTTATCGAATAATTCGACATAAAGCAAGTATAACCGTTATGTTGCAAAGTGTACTCACTTTCCATCGTATCATTATATAGCTTTTCCAATTTCTCTTCGTTTCGTCTAGTGTCAGTGTACAACATTTCCAATTTTTCGTCGTTTCGTTCAAGCTTCGTGCCCAAATTATCGACTTTATTCGCTGTCAACATACAGTAATCGCGTAGACCTCCGTCAATGGATTGTCGTACCGATTCTAAAATGTTGTCGTGTACAATATTTAGAAAATCGGCGCAATAATCTTCGATTTGCTTAGGCGGACAACACTTGTCATTTCGTTTGTCTAAAACCTCAGGCTCTTCACGGATTACTGCCATTGGCGGTGGTGGCTGCGACTGTGGCTGCGGCTGTGGATGCGGCTGTTCTGCTTTTGTGATCTTAATTGTGGCTGGACAATCACAAATATCCCGCTTAACTCGCTGTTGTAATTGTTGCTGTTGTTGTTGTTGTTGTTGTTGTTGTCCAGGCGATATTGTTTTGCAACCACATAAAAAATTTCCGCATCCGCACGGTCTCCTTATCAATTTCTGCTTTTTAGCTAGTTGTCCAGGCCCAGCAGTAGATCGTGGGAAAAGACCACCTTCAGCGAAATGCCTCCATCCCGTACTGCAAATAGTAGCACTGGCCTTCCTGCATATGATTTCCGATGGAGTTGTGTCTACTTTTTTTCCTCTTGCAAACAATTTCTTCGAGAACAGGTTAGACTTTGAAGAGGCACAATAGCAAGGCGTGCATGGGGCTTTATCTGAGTCCCTAGGTGTCTCAATTTTTGGGCTGATATAGGGTTCAGGCTTAGGACAGGCACACTGATTGCCAGATCTCGAATTATCAGTGCAACACAGAAGTACCGGCTTACAGTTTTCTTCGGTAATATTTTTATGCGCGTTTCTTATCATTTTATTATATTCCTCTTGCATATTAATTCTGTCGTTATCAAATCTTGAACTTGTATTATTATTTGGGTTTAAAGTCTTTTCATGACTGAGACTATTTGAACCGCGATCAGTGTTCGACGTTTTTATTGGCCTTTTTTTGGGTATGGTTTTTTTTGATGAAGTTCCCGAACTTTGGGATTGGGATGGTATTGCCATTGGCGTTGTCGAACCCTTTTTTTTTTTTTATTGGTACTCTACCATCTGATTGGATATTCTGGTGACTGATCCGCTTCTAATAGAGTTTCTCGATTAACTACTTTCTACCAAATTGCAGCGGTAAGTAGTTTGATAACAATCCAGATAACTGTTGTTTGCCGCAATCCAACTGCCACGCGGATGCATCGATTTGCAAAGCCCTGCTGGAGAGTTCTATTTCCTTCAGTATTTGCGGCTGGAGATTTCGAAAAATTTTCAGATTTAAAATAGACGTAGATATGAGAATGTTTATTTTCCGAAACAGTTTTATTTGCAAAAGTAATGAAAAAGCCGGTAATTATTTATATAAAATAAAAATTTAAAAAAAATTTTCGAATAAAATTGATAAATATTTGGTAAAATTTGTGAAGTTATTATGAAATGAAGTACGTATCAAAAAATTTTGTTCTCTTCTGCTATGCTATCCCATGGGTTGACAAATTCTAAAAAGTTTATTTTGACTTTGAGGCGTCAAGAAAAATTTCCTCCAATCATTTCTAAACTGTGGAATGGAAATAAAAACTAAACAGATAACAATCCGCGCTTTGCAAACAATAAATCGAAGAGGGTCCGAACAACGTCACGAAAACTGAAATTATGAACTAAATATTAATATAATAAAAAAGTTTCAAAAAAATATTTTTAAGAGAAACATTGAAAAATGGAACGGAATCGGATTTTGATTTCATATTCCCAGAGTTTGATATCCAATTGGAATCGGGCCGACTTTTTCATGAAATATTACTTCTTCTTCTTATTTTGCGAGCCAGCCAATCAACAGCAGATGATTTATCGCATTGATTAATTACGTTATGTATCGACTTCTCCATTCACTCACTTAATCAGTCAACCAATATGCATATATTTTATAGGATCTCAAGTGAGATATATGTAAGAAATTTCACAAAGTTTTACGGCTATTTTTCACGAAAAAAAAAAGGAAAATAAGTTTAAAAATTACCGTATTTACACACCATATCCCATTTTTGATAAAAATCAATTTTTAAAGCTGTCCAATATCTGGTTATAAGTGAAGGTCTCGTCCTAATGGATATATGAGATGATAGCGGTGATTTAAATTTCGTCCACAGAACTTCAATCGGTTCGTAGTTATTCAAGGCAAACCATAATTTGAGAATATTCGAATATTGACTATCGTGCGATTTTAGAATTTCGGGAAATCCGAGTTTCTCAACCGATCGATCCTTTATATAATAGTCTTTTACTGATTTATGTAAAGGATTGCGGATATAATCCTCCGATAATGATATTTTCGAACACATTGAGCACTCGGCTAACAAAGAGTCACTTTCGAAATCTTTTACGTTATCTTTTTTAGACATATACAAATCGTGTAATAATGATGAGGACCGTTGTGAGATTGGTCGCTGCAAATGTAAACAATCATCACAATTGTTTTCCTCGTATGACTTGGCACTTAACTCGGCCCCGCCGAGAGCACGACTTTGATATTTCCCGTTGCGGTTAATCATATGTCCATTCTTCGCAAAATTTTTCCTATCCTTGAACTGACATGTGCATAGTAGTTTCTCGCCAAAGCAATCGGAAGATGCATGAGGCAATTTAACTAGATTTGAATCGCTGTCGAAGTCGCAGTTTTTGGCTACCAGATTTCGTAGCAGAGTTGAATTTTGGATGCACGTGAAATCCATGACTTCTGCATCTGTATTTTTACATAATTTCTTGTTTTGTGAGGTAGGATGAAATACCAACATAATTACCTTAACTGGTTGTAAGCGTTGTTCTGCTGAGCAAGTGCAACAGGTACATGAACGCGGGGCGGATCGCTCCGACCGAAGTTTCTCCACGGGATTTTCAACAGGTTTTTCTGAAAGTTTTTCTGACGGATTTCCTGAAGGCTTTTCTATCGGCTTTTCTGGGCGTTTATTTAAAAACTTTTCACAAACACAGCAGCATAGGCCCGCATGCGTATATTCTTGACCGGTACACGAACAAGCGTTTGCTCTATCGCGCTTAGCTTTCTCTTTTTGTGATGATGATTCTTCAGAATCGCCATTTTGCGCAAACCCCACAGAATCTGCCGAGTCGTGATATTCGTCAATGTCTTTGTAAGCGCTATCACTATCAGAATCACTCTCTTCTGCCTGAGCAAGTATCTCCGGCTTAGATTTCGGTACATATTTCTGCGACACTTTCTTCCTGGGTTGATTTTTAGGTACTTTTTTATCTGATTCCGATTTGCACTTTTTCTCACACTTTATTATATTTATAACTGGTTGCTGCGGACATTTGCATACGGTGGGCTCTTCCCTTTCCGCGGTCGTTTCTGGAGATTTCCTTCTTTTCGCAGCATCTTTATGCTTCGTTCCTCCATTGATTTTGCGCGAAAATTGTCTCCCTTTCGATGGAAATGGCTCTGATGGAGTTTGACTTGTTTTCACAACTTCTGGCCGCTTATCTCTTAGTGTAGTTCTTTCTTCCTTGGCAGTATTTTCTGGCAGCCGTGGTTTTTTGGTTTTATTTAGAAGTATATCACCATTTGATTTCTTTTCTTGCTCGACTTTTTTTCCATTATCCGACTGACAAGTGCACACTTCTATCGTTTTTGTTCGCGATTTACAAGTGTCAACATTACATTCGCGCGGAGACCTGCTTCTTCTCCTAATCTCTGACTGAAGCCTGGGCTTTCTTATATCACGCAGTTGCTTGTTTATAACTTCCGTTTTCGATCCTAAAGCAATACTTGGGAACTTACGGGCACCATTTTTATTTTTTTCCATATACTCGTTAACAATTTGCTGCGGATAGGTGTTTGCTGTACGACTGGGCGGAGTGGGACAAGGAATAGGGCAAGTAGGAGGGCAAGGATAACAACACCTTGAATAATCCATTGGCTGACAATCACAAAATGTATCACATGGATCCTGCATCATGGGAGCACAACACTCGGGCCGACTAAAATCCCAATTACAATACATTTTAAAAACTTATTCGCTTTCTTTACGTGGAATTTCTTTTTCCTTTCATTCGCTCCAATAAATGTATCACAAGAAGTATTTTTCTTTCTTTACGTTTTTCTAAAAACTTAAATTTACAATTTCTGCAAAAAAAAAAAAAAATAATAATTGCAAGATCGTTAATCGGCCATAAATCCACTTGGAGTTCTTGCAATTTTGTATTTTTTTTCACGGCAAGTTTAATTTGGAAGAAACAGGAGTCTCAGAGAACAAAAAAGTTTCGATTTTTTTTCCTATCAATGCTTCTTGATTTTGATTTCTTTGAAAACATATGAGTTTCGAAAATATCTGTAATGGAAGGTTTTAATAAGGCTTTAGTTCTCAGTTGCTTCACCATCACTGGAATATATTTTCAGAATGCCTAAGCAAAGTTTAAATGCCATTGGTTCGTAGTATACTCAGCGATACCCATACACCCCTCGGATAATAATCAATTATTTTATATCTAATTTTGCTATGATTTTAATTGTCTTTTCTTCTTCTTTTCTAAAAAATTACTTTTCTGATTTACTGGAATTGAGACGAGCCACATTAAAATGTATGTGTTTCCAAATGCGTTCACGTAACTGCTGGCTCGCATATATCGTGAATATCGAAAAATAGTTATAGTTCCGTCCCTCATTTGTAGTCGATTTAAACAACAGGTCTCTCCCTCGAAAGTACAGCTTAGAAGCGAGTCATGCCTTGTAGGCTTTCTTTGAATACGTGGCGAACCAACAGGCGAGTACGACAAAGCTTTTGCTTAATTGCTGGTGAGTCGTGTATCAACGACACATATGAAATTTAAAAACTGCATTGGAAAAATAATGAAGCGAAAATTGATAAAAAAAAAAAACACACACTACTCCAATGTTAACGCTAATCTTCTCCCATCTACTTTGTACCCGACGATCATTGAGAAAACCATTGAAAACAGAATATTTGGCAGAATCCGCCTTGGCCACGCATTTGCAACACCCAATGAATCCTTCAGATGTCCCAGTGCGTAAGTACGGGAAAACGAACACTTACACAATGACCAGATGCCGGACGGATAGACAAGCTTAAGCCTTTTTAATAAAAAGGTAGCTCTATCTTAAGCCTTTCGGGGTGTTACATATGCTCGTGCAAATTTAATATACCCCGTACCACAAATCGTTTAGAGTACAAAAATCATCACATATTATTCGAGTTTTGCATGCTTTATAATCATATTCTTTAAAAAAAAAAAAGTTCTGAAAGGTCCTATTGAGTCTTTTTTATAATTAGGATCGATAGTTTTACTGCGGCGAGTGCTCATTTTACTTTAATCCAAAAATTCAGTTCTGGGGAATAAATTAATTATCGCTAGGGTAATAATAAAATAAAAGGTATTATTAAAAATTAATTTTATTTTTGTTTTTATTCACATTATTTTCTTTCCTTTCTCTTTAATCATGCTGTATATTCTTGCGAGCATTAGAAAGATCTATAAACTGCTTTTATGCGCTCACTTTTTTTTTGCGATTGTTTTTTGGTATTTGGCCTTGTTATGTTAAAAATCGTGCTTATGTTATCTGGAAAGTCAATCAATTAAAATAAAACTTGAAACCCTTAGCATTATTATAAAAGAGCGCCTAACAGATGGCTGCATTTTTTTTTTTTTTTTTCGTTTCTAAATGAAGCGATTACTTTCTTTCACCAAGATCCTTAAGCGATGTAAGGTATTTATTACAAAATAGAAACATTGCTCGAGTAGGACGTTTGATTCAAATCTCATGTTTCAAGGATAATTTGGTTTATAAATCGCTGAGAATGTTCCGGAAGATCCACTATGAATAACATACGCAGATCAAAAACCGTATATATCAAACAATCCTACAAATTAATAATTGGTTTGTTACTCCTGGCCGACCATTGGTAAAATCCGAAGTCCGTTACGCAAAAGTTGGCTTAAGAATAAAACATTACTTTATGGATTCCTATACAAAATATATACCTTGGGAATGATATTTTCGGAATGAAAAAATCCGCCATACCCTCGCACTTTTTAAGGCAGCTCGACTTTGTCCGACGTTATTCAAGAGTTCTGAACAAAAATTGTAGAAACGAGGTGATAGAGTGCTTTACGGAATAGATTCGTCTTCATTTAGTTCATTTAGCTGCCGTAGTTCGAGGATGACATAGAGATACTGAAGTTATCCCAAGCGTTGGATTTTGCCCAATACAAGCAAGCAGCGTAGACTCTATTTTCAAATAAGTTTTAATGATTGAAATAATTTCTTTATATCTGCCACCACCAACGATTTGGTTCATTTTGTCAGAACGTATAAAAATATAATTTGAACGCCTCAGAAACCCCGTAGAGTATATATTCTTGTACTACACTGTTAATCTACTACTACTTTACAGTATTCTGTGTCGATTGGCCCGTTCGTCTGCCTTATCGGCTTCAAATTCAGCAAAAACTTTGAAAATCCCAGAAGCCAGCTACTACTGAAAGCAGGCCAAATCGGCTAATGGCCACACCTATCCTACAACATAAACTGAGAATTCTCCCTTTTGGGTTTATTGCTCACTAGTCATAAACCACAGCAGACGCAACGACAAAAATTTTCATTTATATTCTATTAACTATTACCAAACTTGGTTTATTAATTGCGGACTTAGACGTGACATCACTCGTCTTATTAACAGGCCGATGTTCAATCACACGATTTGCATTTTATTCCAGAACGATAAAACGGCCAAATATTTCTCCTTTTTCCCCTTTTTTCTTGCAGCGTCTGTTAAAGATCGCTCAGCTTTCTTGAACCGGTCAACGTTCACTTTAATGCACAAGTTACATAATTGGGTACCAATATTGGTTTTCAAAATTTCAATGATTTTTAGAATACTAATCATACCATCGTAATATTGCCGACAATAGTGCCGGTCGCTTGGTCGGTGATCAAGACATTTTGCTTACGGTTAATCGCGAAATGACAAAAAAAAAAATAGTTTCGCGGATAAAGACTTTTCTCCGCGTATTCTAGAAACAGTTATTAAGTAAAAAAAAAAAAAAAAGTGAAAAAACGATTGTCTATCCCCTTAAGGCCGTTTAAAAATCACAAGATAATATCTACTCACGCCAAGCATTGATTCAAATGCATTACTTTCTCGACTTAATCTCTCTCTCTCTCTCTCTCTCTTTCTTCTTTGTTTCTAGGGGCCAGCGAATTGCTCTAGAAATGTAGAGCAGACAGAGACTATTATGGAAATAAATTAGAAAATATACTGAAATACACAGTAAAATCCTTTCGAATACCTTATCATCAATACTAACGAAAAATCGATTAAAGGACATCTCAGAGCGGAAGAGAATGCTTTTTTTTAAAAAGTGTAAAGCGTGAATGAATGAATGAAAGCAAGAGGATATTTTCAACTTAGTTTTGTAATTGGTGGTCTCTTCCATTTATTAAAAACATTATTTCTTCTACTTATGTAATAACAATTCTGTGAATGCTTATAAAATACAATCACAAACGCATGCAGAAGCACGCGTTAAGGCCTAAAGTCTTTCGACGACAATTTCAAATCGTTTTTCAAATGAATTACAGTTTGTTCATCTTTGCACACACTTTGGTACGGCGACGGCTTTATAAAAGATCGTATGCAAGGAGCAAACAATTTCTTATCCATTTCGGAGGGATTATTACGTCCGAAGATTATAGTTGATAAGCCTGAAGAAATAATTGAAACCAAACAGCCCACAGTAACATAGAATGTGAAAGACATGTGATATATGTACTCCGATACGGTTTTCGAGCTAAAGAAAAGAACAAGAAGCGTTTGGATAGACAAGATCAAATGAAGCTCTCTGTGGACAGCGTTTCGAGAGAAACTTGCCTATCGTCCATGAGCAAAGTGCTGTTAAGTTGTGCTTTAGGTTCAAAGTCATAGGTGCAGCCCGCGGTAGTTACGGGCTTTTCGGCGTACACCAGTTCACCAGATGCCAAAGCCATTTGTCCCTTCACACAAATCCAAGTCATTACCGCAGTCGAGATAATACTTCCTGACATAGCGCTCTACATAAGATGCAAAAAAATATTAAAACTTTTGGAAAGATTCCCTTTCGTACTTACTTTAGCGTTTATCCATGGAACTAATAGTCCCATTAAAAATAAGCCCAATAAGGGACCACAAGTAACGGAGCCCAATGTTATCGATAGCTGCAGCACCGCATGACCCAAATGTTCGACAACGAACACAAGCGCAACACATAACGTACCAATCAGTACAACCGATATACGCATTATGATCGCCGTTTGCCTTTCACTTAGCGGAGTTACTCGTGAAGGTTTTATATAATCTTCTAAGAAGACAGCTGCCAAAGAATTCAAGCCAGTCGACAAAGAACTTAAAGCAGCACTGAAAACTCCCGCCACAAATAAGCCGGGCATGCCTGGTAAGAAGCGTAACGTTTCCATTACCATCAACGGTACCAATTGATCTTTAGCTTTAGCTAACTAAAATACATTAAAACATACGTGTGTACATGTACATGATATGCATACATATGAATAATTTTTTTATCACCTTTGTACTTAGCGGATCACAATCGTGATAAGTTGCAAATATCAGTAAACCGTTATAAAATGTTATGAGGTAAAACAATATAACACCGCCTGTAAATAGAACACATGCCAACTTTGCTTGTTTCATACTAGGCAACGAGAGATACCGCTGAACAATCACCTGATTGCCGCAACACACTTGTATAAAGTATAAAGTCGTACCGACGAATATCGAGAGCATTGAAATCCGTACAGTAGGATCCCACGTAAAACTATATGGAAATTATACGAGCAATCAATAATTTGTTCTCGATTTGATTTCAAAAGTCAATAGACATACTCGGGTAGCTCTATGCGTCCGCTATCGTAATTACGCTGCCAAACCACATGAAAACCACCGATATCAATAGTGCCTTTAACGATAATGAATATGATGGCGCCAATCATAATCACCGTTTGTATGACATCGGTCCAAACAACTGCCTTCAATCCGCCCTAAATAAAGGTAAACAAACTCTTTTATATTATCCATCATTATAAAGCGAAATGAGTGGACCATATGCGATCCATTGACCGGATATATGAGTTAATGTAGTCATATATAGAGTGGTAGATGCGTGTGCCTTCAAAACGATTGTCCAAATTATGACACTTTTTAGCATATTTGGCATATCTTTATGCCAATTGAGACAATTTATCAATCATGCTGTAACTAAGGAAAATGGCAGACGATTTTCAAATCCAACCTTTGGTCGGTTGTATTGCTTAATAAAATAAGTTTCCTTAAAATAACAAGCAAAGGAAGCGAAGCAAGCAGTTCATAATAATAATGCAGATCCTACTAATTATATATGTGGGCTCCGACAGATAGTTAGATATACCTGAAGTGAATGTTTTATTTAAATAAAATATATTTTTTTTGCTATTAGGCTTAAGATAGATCCGTCTTTTATTAAACGTCATTTTCACATGTCTGTCTGTCGATCTGCCAATGTATTTTTGTGTGTTCAGCCGATGGGCCGCAAATTTTTAGGATATTTTGATGAAACTTGTTACGGCGATAGATTCGATTGGACCACTTTTTCGACCAATTCCCTTGCAAAGTCTTTTATTTGTAAAACCGTTAGTTGTTAAACGGACGCCATTGAAGCTCGGTTTCGGATTGAAATGTTTCTCTATGAATAGCTGTTTTAAGCGAAGTGATGCGGGACATTGAATGGCGGGCCGTAGTCCATTGTGGACTACGCTAATTGTTTCGACTGTTGTGGATTTTAATCAAGGTTTGCAATTTTCTGCATTATATCGGACTTGTTCGGACAACACCCTTAAAATCAGACCGATTTTGTGCTAATTTATCGACCCCTCGATAAGCACTTCAAAGGGGGGTAAATAGTAGAAGAAGAAGAAGAAGAAGAAAACAATATCTTACCACGGTAGTGTAGAATATGCAAACTACACATACGACAGGAGTAACAATATGAATATTAATTCCGGTAACTAAAAAAAAAAAAAAAAAAAAAAAAAATTAATTTTTTAAAACTTGTAAAAATTCGATTGGATTAATTTACCTTGATTAAATGCTAAAGCTGGCACATAAATCACTATAGGTAACCAGGTAATCTGAACCAAGATATATATACGTATTTCATCCATTTAATGCATCGTTGATAAAATATTAGAAGATATCGAGTCATAAATAAAAGGCGGAAAATAATTTACGATAAAATTTTTTCTTTCGTTCATTTCAGATCGTATGCCCGTAGCTGTGCAACTTACCGTCCCAACTGAGAATAAAGTCGACCCAAACAGGCGTATGGCTTTACCGAACCGCATCTCAAAATACTATAAATAAGCATTTTGTGTTCAGGTGAGTATACATCTATGGTCTTTTCGTTTTAATTTAATATAAAATGTTAGAAAAGAATTTTACTTTTTACATTGACCAGCTTAATATATCAGCTGAAAAGTAGGGTGAAATTTTCACTTCTCCTATCTCCAGTCTTTTGCTGCTTACTCTAAATAGGTGTCCTTCGGTGGAAGAAATTCTTCTTCAACATTTGAATTTTTTCTTGGAAATCCTGTACATATCAAACACGTGGACATGCCTACCTATCCACCAACAAATCTGTTCAAAAGGTCAAGACTTCAACAAAACTGGTTTCTAATTATTGATGAAAATATTCGAAAGCATCCTTATACCTTCGAGAGTGTAGAATTTTTCTACATATGACTGATCTGTGGAATCATATCATTAAAAATTAACCTGCGATTGAATGATTCAGGCATTGAGACCGGTCATCAGCACAGGTTTCCCTGCCATAGTTTTAGTGGTTTTGCATCAAATTTAGCAATCGTTACAATGGAACTTTCCTACATCATGGTGGCTGCCACCTTTCAATATGTGCTGTTGTTCCGAATACGACTGACAGTCTTACGCTTGTCTTCATCTCACAACATTCGCATTTCAGGATGTACTCAAAGAGACATCTGAAACTCTTAACGCAGTACAAGTTCGTTTGATTGCATTGAAGTGAATGTGTTGCAGTTTTTGTACTTTGCATACGTTAGTCATAAGCTACGAAAAGTTAGGTAATCGTAGAAGATTGCTTACAAAGCTTTTCGCATATATGACTTGAAAAGCAAGTGCGCCATGAGTTGCTAGAAGACTAGTCTGCTTTTCTACACATTTTTTTGAATTTCTCATTCCACAATGCCTTTATACTCGAGCTGACCTCGTCTTCAGACACCCACCAAAGGCCCAAATGTGACGCTTAGTTACTCTTTCGTATCACAGTGATCCGGAAGCGAAAATGAATACATCTCGATAAGATTCATAATGAGACAGAGAGACTTGATTGCGAATAGAACTTTCAATGGCTTTCAAAATATTGAAGAAAGCATCAACTGGATCTATATATGTTTGATGGTTAAGTTAAAAATTGCATATAAACTGGTAGCACATTAGTTAAAGAAGCGTATGTTCCCATAACTGAGAAGAGTAATAACGAAAGTATGCATGGACTGTTCACTTCACCGGCAAGAAAGACATTAACGGTTATCGTAGGTTCTTATGATGAGAGGCGAACGGGAAAAATATTCTTGTGCACAAAAAGAGAAGACTAGGTATGAAGAGCAAAGTCATTCTTAACAAATCAAAATGTATCCATATAGCATACACTATGCTATGCAACACATGGCTCGTGATACAAATGCTTATATGCGCGGACTTAATTTAAAGTCGCCCCTCTTGCTGAAAGAATCCATAGATAAGTTCAATATTAAAGCAGCGGTTTTTTTAGAACGATTTCTCTGCAAAAGCAATAAATTTTTTTTTTTTTTAAATATCTCACGTTACACACGCACTTTCAACAGTTCTTTACATAATTCACTTGTTTCGGAATAGCCTTAGTCCCAGGAACACTTTTTTTATCGGTTCATCCACCTGTTCTCCTTTCATGGCAGAGCCTTGCAATTCCCGCTAATATCTTTCTTGCATCGTTTGCATCAATAACATTAAGTGGGACATTTCTTCATGGCAATGATCGAACAGTGTTTTCGAAAAAATCTGGCCCAAATCTCTTCAAATTTTTCATTCGTTGTTGTTGTTGGAGAGATCTTTTCAACTAATTCTCCTGAGAGAAGAACAAGAACAAGACGCGACAACTTGACTTGTCGTTTAATGATCTTAATTCTTGCGAAGATCAATTCTACGGTAAGAATGGTAAGCAAGTGGAGCGAAATTTCATCTAACCTCACTTGTTAACAGAACTTGTATGATATGCAATTCTCGAAATAACTCGTAAGCAATTTAAACTGGTTTGGCATAAAATTCTACAAAATACGATTTAGTATAAAAAAGCAGTTCGAACAGCTTTTTCTATTAAGAAGTACTTAAAACTTTATTGTCAAGCAATAATAATCACAAAAATTCGCTGGACTTACCTCATAGGTTGAAGTCAATTGTAGATTATAGAAAACCGGTAAGAAGACATACCATGACACAACGCCTGATATCGCTAAGGTTATTAAAATAAACGCGTACTGTGTGCCATAAACGTAGATTTCGGTCGAGGTGCCCAATAGCGATATGCCCGAAACAAAACTAAAAATGGGGGAAAAAATAACACAAAAATATATATATGTAAAATATGTTGATTTGAGATTTGAGCTGAGAACTGTTTAAAATCTTTCGACTTTTTGAACTTGAACTTGAAATGTTTCCCTCGCATTCACACATTTTCGAATATAAGTCGTAAATATTTTAGGGATCACTGAAGGCAACAACACAAAAAGAGAGGAACGCGAAGAGATAATTTCAAGTCAAGTGTATGTTGCTTGTCTTCATGAATCGCATAATCGATAATTAATGTATTACGTAAAAAAAAGAAAGCAATTTTTGACACAATGCGAAATATCATACAAGAAAAAGAACAAGAACAATTTGACAACTTTTTTATATAGTCACTTAGGGTGATGGTATCTTTTTACAGGGGCACCGTCTTAAATATAAATATATCTGACTTGTTTGCTTCAATTTATATCATTTGCATATAAATTTTGCCTATGCATGTATGTATGTATGTATGTATGTATGTATGTATGTATGTATGTAAACACGAATAGATAAAATACATAACTAAAACATTAACTGACTATAAACTTAATAGAAATACGAGATTGTCAAGATCTTTTGAATATCTTTTCCATGAACTAATTAAAACCAATCACTAACTTGAACCAACAATTCGCATTTGTAATACGAGTAAAGGCATTATAATCGGGCAAAGTCGTGCATTGAATGCCACACAACACTTGAAGTGATGTAACCCTACGTGTTTATCATATCCTGTACCACATGTAACACAAAAGTGTATTAAATTTGAGCGGATGAAGGACTTGCGATGCATTTACCTTGCCATCCATCCGTCCGTCCATATGAAACACTGCCCCTATAAAGCCTTACTTTAAAAAGTCTGTAATTGTAGGTTAATGTAGGCCATCTAATGGTGGAGCGTGGCCCCCTACAGATTTTTTATTTATTTATTTTCTTTACAAAATCGCAAAAGAATTATAATTTCGTTCCATGTTCTATGAATTATGATTATCTTACCTAATTTTCATGAGGACTCTTATCGGAATCCAAATTTAGCAAAGTTGGCCCAAGAAAGAGGTACTTTGAAAACTGGCCTATCTTTGAAAAAATGTTGAAACATTTTTCAGATTTGAAAATCTATTCAAAATGCTCCGCGATTTTCTCAATTTAAGATCATCAAAACCGTTCAATCTAATCCGTTTTCAATGGGGTTTCATCAAAATGTTTGAAAAATTTTCAACCTCTAGGCTAAACATAACAAACGGACGGATGAATGGATAGACAGACAGATAGTCGCCGAGCTTAAATCGATTTAAAATATACTCCTGCCTTTGACAAACAATCGCACAAACCTGTACCCCGTGCAGTGTAGGCGCAGAAGGCACATAGAAATGCGTAGCGGACACACGGATTTATAGAGTGTCAAACGCACAAAAAAAAGATGGCGTTGTCTTAAAGCTTATCTGGTCACTTGTTAGACTAAATTTAGAGTTCAACTTAAAAAATTTTATTTTTTGAAAATTTTTACTAAAATTTCAATTCTTATTATCCCAACAGGTTACAATTCTGTTTTACAATGCTTTTTAGCTACATATACTGCCCTACGGCCGCTCACTTCTATCCACTTAGAAAGTTTCCAATGTTCACTACTGAAGCTCGGAAGTTGTAAAATACGGAATTCGTTCTTCGCCTTATAATATCCGAGAAAATTTTTTTTTTATTTCGGACCTCATTAATCATCAATGTAAAAATCGTCAATTGATTTACCCATATCCACGATCTGTTTATCTCTCCATCTGGGTGCAGATGTCTGGGGCGGCTGACCATATGGTCAAGATTGCAAATCGACCTCAAAGCCATTCAGAATAAGTAAAAGGAAGTGTTAATCTAAGAGTTTATGCAAAATGAGCTTGAAATAGATAAAATACCTTCCTGGGCCATCTAAAACTTTAGTACAAAAAGGGTTTTTTCTTTTTTTTAACCGAAACAATTAAATGATAAGATGTCCGAAAATTTTATTCAAACTTGGAAATAATGAAACGTCAGAGACTTTTTACTATTTCTGCTATCAATGATAACAGTAGCACTGTTAATTCGAAGCCATTTAACCGGATGCTCTTTCGCTCTCGCTGTTTGTTTGAGCAAAAATCCTGTTAAACACTTACAATGTATTCTATAGTGCTTACGAAGCAAAACTATAAGAGCTCCGTGTATTCAAGTGAAAGTGTGTCTGGTGTCCCCAAGAAGTAGGTACCAGAGAAATGCTTCAATAAATTTCAATGAAAATAATCTATGAAGAAATGCGAAGAAATTTTCCGTAATTAAAGAACGATTGCTTTGTACCGCGTTATAAGCAACCTTTTGGTTTTCCTAAAATATTATATAGAATAACGTAAGAAAATTATAGTGCGGCAGAGCCAACCCATAAATATACCCTACAATTATTCATATATCAATTATAGGGCATTGTATAGGAAGTGGTCGAGAAAGAGGTCCAATCTGAAATGTTTTCAATAGTATTTGTCCTCAGCTTGAAACACGTCGAGCTATACCGAGCTCCCTAATCATCATCACCATCGTGTCATTTCGTTATCTCCGAGAGAACGTTACAGGATTTCAGTTACATCATGTAATGTTTTCGTTAATTCTACCTTTTGTTAAAAGAGCGCCGAAGGATTTTTTATAGTCTCCCTCGAAGGATAGAGATTACATTCATTTTGTCGAAGAAGCTTCGCGGACCCGCTAAAAAGTATACATTCTTGATTAGAGTCAATTTCTGAATCCATATAGGCATTTCCGTCTGTCCCTCTGTCCACGACTATTATAAACATTTTCTTCTTCGGACAAATTAATATATCGTTTTTAAATTTGCCAAAAAACATTAGAAAAACTCTTAGGCAAAGGACACACGCCTAGCGTGCAGCACAAATTAAGAAAACTTGAGCTTCCTGAAGATTTTGCATTTTACTCTTAAATTACAACAAATATAACAGAAAATAGAAATATTCGCTTACCTTCAAAGGAGAATTACAAAAAAAATTCGCCCACGCCCATCTAATATTAAGTAACGAAATATCGTTTTTGTGTTTTTTCTAAGATAACGGGTTTTTCCCTTTTTTTGCTTCTACTTTCTATAGAGATCGAATAATAAGATTCCGAACAACAAGATATCGCGATAATGTAAATAGTCTTCTTCTTCTTTTTAAAGATTTTTCAAAGCAAGAATCAAGGGACTTGCGTTCTTCTGCTGACACGCTTTATAAAGGATCTTTTAAAGCCATAAAGCCACTAAGGACACGTTTGTGTTATGGAAGCATACTTACCTGGCGACTAAGGACAACGAGACAGGCACTACTTTCATTTTACGTCCGCCCACTAAATAGTCCAAAGCTTCTGAGCCACGGCGGTGTTCCAAACTTCGTTTGCTTCCTTTTTGCTTTTTCTCAATGAAACCAAAATATATACCGACTATTGCGCACACTACTAACATTAAAACAAAGATGAAATAGTCCATCCAACCGAAGTGTTGCAGAGATGTGCTCAGATCGGCAACTTTAACCTTTTCAAATTTCTCAATTGATACTGCTGCTGCTGCTGCTGTTGTCTTTATCGTTGTTGTTGTTGTTACTGTTGCTGTTGTTGTTGCTGTTGCTGTTGCTGTCATTGTTGCGGATCTTGTGGATATGGCTGCTTCCGAAGTCATTGCAAATAACAAACTATCGTTATTATCACGATTGTCCGGCAATATTGACGCTATTGATAATATTGAAGGCGTTGTACTATTAATTAATGCTTTCTCTCTTACTGTTGAAGTCATCGTCAATTGTATTGCGATCTGATGGCGTTACAGAATTAATGCTAATATTTCCTTTGTTGCTAGTATTGTTTACAGCAACGGATAGAGATGGTGTGGGTTCTTTTTAAGCTGGTGTTAGCGAGGATGAGATACGGCCGAAGCAACAACACTTAATTGCTCCGATATTTTTCACTTTTTGTAATTTATTATGCGATTGTTTTTTTTCTTGTTGTAATTAATTGTGTAATTGTTTATTGGAAAATGAAAATTGAAAATTTGAATAACATTTATTGTCCGATGTCACAATGAATTTAACTTTCGTTTTCCGCTTTTTATTTTTTGAATTTATTTACGCCTATATTTCGTTATTGTCGCGTTCGCGCTTTCCCTTTTCTAGGTAGATCGATTATTAATTCTTGAGAAAGGATTTTTTTGCTAAATGAACAAACAATGAATAATAGTTTTGAACGATTCGTTAAATTCGTATACATACGTATATATACGTTACGCAAGAAGGAGATTATTGTTATTGTTGTTACAGTTTTTGAATTTAACGGAGAAAACTTTCGCGTAAATCATCTCATATGCTTAACGCCAGAATCCTCATCCACTACTAAGCATTTAAGATTTGCATCGTAAGTTTAGAGCGGCAGAGATAAAGCCTATTATTGTTATCGTTGCTCCAGCGGCTGTCTACTTATATAATATATATAAGCGATAATGCTGACTGACTGCTGAAGAAGCTATCAAAAGGCATATACGGTAGCCCAGATCATAATAATACAAGTTCTATGTAAATAATTTATTCTTTTATTATTGTATTGTGTATGTAATTTAGATTTTTTTTTCGTACACACATACACACATACATACATACATACATACACACACAAACGCAAAGCGATACCCAAAAGCTTACTTAAATTCATATTTAACGAAAAAAAAAAAAAAAAAAAAAAAAAAAAAAAGTGTAGAGTAAAAGTAAATAACTTGTGATAAACTTGCAGATTAAAGAGATAACAATATAACATCCAAGCATGTATATGTTCGTGTATGTGCACATTCAAATCTGTATAGGTAAACGCTTTTTCTTGTATTTAATTTTACTATTGAGTAATAAAATGCACACGCTAAGCCACTTTAGCTTACGCTTATATGTACCCTATGTACCTAACTAGGTAACGTGCAAAATTTTTCGGAGAGTTCTAATCCTTTTGCTTAACTTTTATCAAACCTTGCTGTTAGCTTTTTTTTGGGGTTTTTTTTTCTTTTTTTTTAATCATTTACTCTGCCCACTGTTTACATTAATAAAATTTTTTATTTTATTTAATATGTAAATAAAAGCCTTTTATTTATTTAAAGCAAACCCGGAATGTGAAAAATATAAATTTTTCTACTGGAAAAAAAATAAAGAAAAATACCACAAAGTTAAGGTCAACACACATAAAATAATAATAAAATATTTGATTTTGCTCGAATCTTTTTTATATAAACGAACTGGAATTTGTTGGGTGCACTGTTTAAGTCGGTTTACTGCGAATAATGAACAGAAGGAACTTTACGTAGACGATTGAAGGCTTTCAGGCGCTTATATCTCATATTTAATAAAACGACTCTGCCTAAAGACTGGACTGAGCTTATGTTCTTTGCTCAAAAGCAAATTGAGAATCATAATGCTTTACTTGTCAATGTCATAATGTGGGGAAGCCTTATGTAGCCGATGATTGGCCAAAAAAGGATAACAACAATTTACGGAAAAATTTTCATAAGTAAAATGTGAAAATGGTATATGGCATTAATCGGGCAGACATAGTTGAATAGAGATATTCGAAGTGGAAAGTCCTTAAGAAGCACTGGAACGTTGTAAATATAAATTCCTGTAAGTAATTCATTCGCTTCATCCATTTTGTACTTCCGAAAATAAAGGTAAATCACACACACCTCTGATTGACATTTGAACAAAATATTCCACTTGTTGTTCGTGCCAACGTAAATGGCAAGCAGAAGGACATCAGATAGACTTACCTTTTATTATCATTGTTATTATTATTATTATTATATAAATTTCGCCAGAGAAATAAATTCTAAGACTAAAAACTGGTAAAAGCGCTAGCATCTAAGGCTATCTATCGGCTCTTATTAAAAACTCTACCGCACTTGAGATTCGAACCCACGACCATTGAGTTGCTAGACGAGATTCTTCGCCTTCGGCCACTTCGGCCGATATATATATTGTTCAGAAAATGATTGTGAATCGATGTAAGAAGCCAAGCTTAAATAAAATTATCGAAGGAACAATCTTGGAAACTTGACCTCTTAATAATTTGACACAAGAATCAATCTTACCAAAGTTGGACCACGTAGGTCAATTTTTAGCATACCAATGCATATGAAGGTAAAAAAGAAGTCTTAATGCCCCAAAAATACCTAATATTTTTTGATGGTAATTTATCAACCATGGGGAATGTATATCACATAAGGGGGCTATCATCAAAGTGAATCCTTCTATGCCGACAAAGCCTAATTTCTTCGGAGTTTCTTACGACGGAAACAACTGGAAAAGGATAAAATCGTTGACAAATAGATCACGTTTGCCAAATCTGGATCACATTGATTTTTGTGTGTCCTCCAATATGGAGGCTTTCATCAAAATTATGTATATACATAGAAATAAAGTCTAATATTTGATGTATTAATATACATAAGTGACGTAGGGCAAGGTATTTAACGTTCGGCCTAGCCCGCCTATAGCATTCTTACTTCTTTTAATATATTGTTTGTACCTTGCCATTATCTTTGATATACTTTTCGTGCTCTGATGTTCCTAAAGGAGTTGCACGAGCACAAAAATTGATTTCTGGGTGTGCTTTATGGGCTGAAATGTCATCTTTGAACATGAAAATGCCATTGCAGCTAACGTTAGTGAAAAATATTACCTCGACCTTGACTCGGACGATATGCGGCCTTAACAAAATGGAGTAAAATGTCGTACATTTCATGGCAAAATCAATTTATTGAGAGATAGTGCCACCAAGACTATGCATTATAACTCAATTGGACGTTTTAATCATCGTCCTTCAGTGGTGGGTGTAGAAAAACTTATCTGAAGACCTTAGGGATCTACGAATTGTAAATAAAATTTACACTATCCTTAAACATCATAGGTCAATGCTATAAACTTAGTTTGAAAAATGTTTGAATAAAAAGCGTGGAGTCGCCAAACGACGTTTTACGTAATAGTATTTTACATTTTTTTTAATTTATGAGTTTTGAAAGCAACTGACATTGAAAGTTTTTTTTTCATCCAACACTCGGGGTTAATTTGCTCGATTCACACGATTTTAATATCAAAAAAAATTTAAGGAAACAAAACATAGAAACAGTCAAGCGAAATATTTAATCAGTCTCTATGGTGTTGTAATCAAATTGAACGGTATTCGGTGCAGTTTCGTGAGCGGCTGCAAATATAACCTTCCCTTGCTCGGCATTTGCTCGATAAGGCTGCTATTGCGAAATCGCCATAGCTGATCGCGATAATCGCTATTCGAAAAGGAATAAATAAATAAAAAAAATGCGATTACTTTTAATGAGTCATTAAATTTTGTTTAAGTAGCATTTTCAAAAATATTTTGATTGCTTACGAGTCGTGCACTCTACGCTAGGCAGCCTTGCAGTGTTGCCAAATTATTCGGATAAGAAATAATCACGACCGGATGGCTATGGGTGCTGCATAGGTAAAAACGACGGCGACGATGGGGGAATGAGTATATTTTCACATAATTCGATTTTAGAAGGCAGCCATCCCGTGGGGCACATTGCCCCACCTTAGACCTTAGACAAAGAGATGATGATGACGAAAGCACATCAGCACATCAAAAAGAGGTTGAAACAAATTAAAAGCAATTGCAGCACGTCTTCATAAAATGGAAAGAAATATTGGTATCGCAATAAAAGCTGATTCCTTTCGATTAAGATCCACGCACTTAATCTTGATATAGTCTTATCCGAAGAGATGCAGAGTTTGAGTACCGAGAACTACTCTAAGCACCATTGTAATCTAACGAGAACTGTCGTTCACCTTTCCCTTTTATTCATTCATATTGTTCTTCCCACATGCATTTGCTTGAAAAAAGACTCAACTACGCTACAAGCGAAGAGTGTATATGTTTTAGAAAAGATTAAGCAAATCTCAAGAGTGTGGCAAAAGAAAGCGATCCCTTACTATTCAATTCTTTATCTATCGTTTAAATTAGTGATAATAGTTCCTTATTACTTAATAATAGTATTATTAAGTACATATGTTCTTTTTTGCTAGTTTTCTAGCTTCGGCCTTTGTTGTACTATCTGTTTTATTTATTTTTTTTTTTAAATTATTATCTTTATTATTATGTTAATTTTAACCTAAATCATATTAATTAAGATCGTTTAAGATCGATTTTTGTATAAGACGTTATCTCAAGCAACATATTTGACACCGTGCGGCATATAAGGGGATAATGGATAATAATCACAGTTTTATTTCTTATTCCTCTTTGCAATATCGATTAGAAATCCATCGCAAAGGCATAATGGCCTGCGCAGACATTTCTTAATGTCAATCACGCGCTAATTGATCTTTATTTAAGTGCTTGTGAGTGGCAAGTCGAAAAAGTAAAAGGTACTTTTCAATATCATGACATAACAATTCATTCATCAGTAATAGTTACTTGGGCCTGGCTGGTCTTCTTCCTCACATGAAGCAACATACGATTTTATCTGCGTTTTTTGCAAGTAGTTTTTACACGGTTATATGTGTGTGAATTCGAAGTTTCCTTTAGGCATGTAGCGTAGAGAAGAGGAAGAAAAAAACAAAACACATTTCTCGTATATCGTAAAATTGAACTAACTTTCTTATTACATTTATTTCATTTATTTCTCTTGCTCCCCTACTCTCTATACATATGATCCTTACCATCCTTTTTGTGCTTGCTTTTGTGATCTTCATTCATAGTGATCCGATTGATCCGAATCGAAAATATGCGAACAAAATAGGCGAAAATAGGTCTATTCCGAGCCCCATCTCAGCACTTTAGCTTTGGTGGCAATTTTTTCATTTGCGACGTTTCGCCCACTTTTAATATGGCTGCCATGCCTCGCTGTACGTGCCGGTCGATTTGTGAACTATGTAACCAAAATCCTGGACCATCACTTATAAAGCGAACGATAATATAGCCAAGACCGGGCACTTGTATTGTATCCTTTTCAATAGCGGGATAATCATCAGATAATCGTTGCAAACGTCCGCTCCGATCTAGATCTTGTATCTAAACGAGTATAGAAATGGAAAATAAATGCGAAATATATAATCAATATTGATCAATCCCATTAATCGCGCTTACTCTTCTCAAATCACCCACATTGCCGATAACATCTTGGCCGACCAAGCGGTAGATAACGCCGTGAGTATGCAAAGATTCAGTGCTTTTTTGATAATTCGCTATAACCAATTCGATGGGCTTATAAGCGGGCACTCGTATAACGTTAGTGCAAACGCAATTGTTGATTCGACAATTGTGACCCGCAGCCATAAATGCCGAACGATTGCAATAAACCGAGTCTTCGTAATACAATTGATGGGCTTGCAAAAGTGAAACTCTCGGCCACTCAAATGTAATATCATCTAGTTGGGAAAAGAGCTCACCATTGCTTTCCCGGCGCTCGCCGAAACTGGAATAATATGTAAGAAACTTTGTATAAGGTGGCCAGCTTAAAGGCGTTAAGGAACGTAAGCCCAGGGTAGCAATATTCGTGACTTTCATATGGAAATCTTCTTCTTTGTTCGCGAATGAAGTCAATATCGGCGGCCTGTTAACATGAACAGCACTCTTCACTCCTCTCTCCTCTTTACTGAGAGGATCAGACTCAATTAGCTGTCGTGGAGGAAGTTGATGTTTCTTCGAACCGCGGTAATGTAGCACTGCGCCTTGATATAGATTTTCTCTTTCGCACTCATTGTAGCCGCGTACACGTATCCAATAATTTCCAGAATATTGATTCGCATCTAAAATAAAATCAAATCTCTCGCCCGGAAGCAAAAAGAATTTATCGGCGTAAACGGGTTCAATGTCATTGCCATCGGCGCTAATCATAAGCATTTTATGATTCTCTATCGAAAATTCTATAGGACAATCGAACACACCGCCGCTAATGACACGCAAACGATAACGTTTCCCCGATGAAATCCTTAAGCGCTCGTAACGATGACTTAAGTCGTTATCTGGTAAAGTGTTGCCATGATTACGACCTTTACCATTAATTAGAATATTCCTTGGTCTGTCGTAATCGTAATTATATATCGCTTCTTGAATGAACAAAGTGTGTTCAATAAGATCATAATCATAGAGATGGCTCTGTTTATTGGCCTGCTTTGTTTGACGTACAACGAAAGCGCCGCCGAGACCTAAGGCCGTTTGCCAACCGGAATGACTATGGTACAGCAACGTGCCACCACGGTCTGCCATAAAAGCGTAGCGATACGCTTCCCCCGCTTCTATGGGGTATTGGGTAATGTAGGATGCGCCGTCCATTTCTGGTGTCTGAGACATACGGAAACCATGCCAATGCATAGCGAATTCTTCGGTTAGATAGTTCACAACATCGATTGTAATGAAATCACCTTCACAGACTTCTATAGCTGGCCCAGGGGTCTGACGATTAACAGCCATCACGCCATTCGGTATACCATCTCCAAAAACGCAATGCTCTGCTAAGCAAGCATTCGGATCGTTCAAGCACTTTTGACACTCAGCTCCCAGCCTTTGATAATTATGCACGATCAAGCGGTAATAACAAGACATTGATTGACCCGATTGGCAAATCCTTCGGCACGGATGTCTCTCGAAGCTGTTAAGCTGACCTTCATTGAAATTTAAGCCATCAGCATTATGAATAATTTTGAACTCGGACAATTCAGGCGTATCCCAAAACACCTTACTATAATTATAATACTTTGGCCCGATTAATTCGCTATGTTTGTCAGTTTCATCACTTTCATCATTTATTATCTTTCCCAGCACTTTTGCCAAAAGAAGGGAAAGCGACACAATTGTTGTTATTAATTTTTCACGTTTCAGATCTTTGACTGTCCCGCGTGCATTTACAGTAAATAATACCATTGTCTTAAGCGATTTAAATTCAACTAAAAAGAATTTTTGATATTTACCTTTAAATAGATCTCTGGTACTTTGCTTCTTCTATTTACTTTCTTTTATGATTTTATGCTTAATGTGAAATGATATTTCGTTCGTTGACACTCCAAGCACGTACGCGTTCCACAATACCAGTTAAGCATTTATAATGAGTCTCTTCAGGCAAACGTATTCATTGTTACTGAGGCGATTGCATGTCTTCAACTTGCGGCATTAAGGGCGATAAGCTAAGCAAACATTCTATTCCCCTTGCAAGAAATCCATTCTTATGTGTCGTTAAACATTTTCTTTTATATAATTGTCTCACATTTTAAATATAATTCATTGAGACAAACTGAACTGACGTGATTTCGATCGACAAATTTTTACCATATCTATGCCGTCACTGTAAAGCTTCTGCGATTTCTAATCGAAAGATTGGACTTTCTATTGAAGAGCGTAGATCGTGAATGCGGTCAAGATCTCTCAATTTATGCGAAATCATTAAAAATTTGCGTATAATCTGGAGTGGTCATCAAGGAAGGCTACCAGTGGAGACAGGCATCAATCATCCGGTCAATTTTAAGCAAAGCATAAAGCTCCATTCGCTTCTAATTCCAACAAACACATATCATCATTTTGGGTGGAGTCAATCCGGGCCTTGCCATCGATTACGTAAGTTCATCCATCTTGGACCGCTTGTTGTTGTCTATGGTCTGTTTGCCCATCTAATTTTTTTTTTTTTTTTGTTTAAAGAACCTCTAAATGTTCGATCAATTTAAAGTGTTCAATATAAAAATTTAGATATGGAACTTTGTAAACGAACGTTCGTTCGTGCCTGAATCCCCATCATCCCGTTCACTATTAACCTAAAAAGCATTTTTTTAATGGAAAGGAACTAGATTTCCTTACTCCATAACATTGAGACGGCGCGACCGATTTTTGCTATTTTTCAGTAAATGTGCTTATGGTTTTCGTTGCATGGGCATACGAGTGTTGTCGGATGGGCAAGCGGACAAACGGACAGCCGAATGCACTTAAATCGATTCAGAATTTATGGGATGAATATACCTTGCGGGATCTCTGAAGCTTCTGAGCGCTGCAGACATTTTGACGAAATGCTTACTCCCCTCATCCTTCGGTGATGAGTATAATAAGCAAACAAATCGAATGCTTCAATCTGTTATGTTCAATTGCAGTGATTTGACCGGAAATTTGCAATAATACTTTATTTATTTATTTAAAAAAGCAAAGAAAGAATGATTGCACTTCCAGGATATTGGAGTCGCTGTAGGGGAATAAAGTCAGAAAAATAAATGATTAATTTTCGCTTATACGCTTTGTTTTTCATACGCATTTCGAAGAATGTTTCTCTTTATTTCTGTGTGGGTTAACTCTTTTCATGTTAATAATTACATGGTAATTAAAATTTATAATGAAAATTTTCACACATGAAGTAATTTCAGACCTGGATTATGAGCTTGTTTGTGCAAAATGACACAAGACAACCTAAACATAGATAAAGGCAATTAAAAAATGGAAATTACGTCCAGTTACGAACTTTGAATACCCAACAGTGTGTTTTTGATTTTAATTTACTTTTGTCCCGCAGCAGGGATTTTAGAGGACATTTTCACTAATGAAACCGTAACCCAATACAAGCGTTAAGAGTTGCATAATAGTTGCCAAATATTATTTTGGGTTTGCCTCTTAACTCCACTGTACGATGGCAGATGTTTATGTTTATGTTGTTACCTCAATTTTGAAATTTCCTGCCATTAATATTATTTCTAGGTAAACATAATATGTAAGGAAGCGAAGGCCGCTTTCGATTTTCTAAAACTGTGAAACAGAACAATGACGAAATGGTAGATGTTCAATGATAGGAAAACGTATCACAATCAATTCTTGACTTTTATTAGCTACGCAAGTATAATTAACTTTGTTACAATGAATGACTTTTCCCACAGGAGACAGAAGAGACAGAGTTGGCTAAGTCGACTTGAATTTATTAGATTAAAAGTCATTCAATATTTGAAGACATCGTAATTTCTGAGAAATAATATTTTCTCTTATAAATACATGTAGTCATCATCCCGATTATCTCCTCGTAAAGTTCGTGACGTGGATGTGTTTATTGGTAAACTAAAAACTGCCGCAAAATACAAAAATCCTAAGGACTGTGTATGCATGTTATGTCGTAAATGCAACAGATTGTGGGCGAAAGCCCAAAAGAAACCTTAGCACCTTAGCACAAAGGTACAAACTATCGAGCTGTTTTTGTAAACAATATCTTCCCGGGCTCGATACGAAAGTTAGTGTGCCCTCTTGATATCGGCATGCAATAGTTATTTCAATAATCTTATGTTATGCTTACATGTAAACTTAATAAAAAGGATTTGGGTTAGTCTAAAAAACCTTAAATATCATTGAATGCTCAGTTGTGTAGCAAAAAAATGAATAAATAAAAAACAAGTAAAGAAATTATATTCGGTTGCGACGGAATCTTTCATTCCCATCACCATTATTCGAAAAGAGACTGCAAAAACGAAAACCAACTAACTTTTCATACTGTAGAGTATTGGGTGGGCGCCGCTGACTTTTCCTATTGTCAGAATAAAATTGAAAATTTATATGGTGCATGTGTTGTACTTTACAAGTAACAATTAAAAGAAAGGCAAAGCAAGGGTAGTGTTTATAGATTATATTGCATAGGTATGTAGCCATTGGAGGCGTGTCCTTTGACCGATTTGAATCATTTTAAAAATCTTTTGCAAATTTGAAGCGTGACTTTTGTATTTTTGCGAATGAAAGAATACTACAAAGTTGGGCAGACGGACAGATGGACAGACGAATACAACGACATGCTTAGGTGAATTTCGAATTTTGATACACAGGTTTATCTACTGTAGTTTGTGAGTAATGAGCAGGAAAAACCAATATTTTCTTGCTTTTGAAAAGCATAGGTGTACTCAGTTCACTTAGCATTATTGTGTAAGTGTATCCTTCGACCGATTTGACCCATTCTCAATACCAATCTGCGTGCTAGAATTAACCTCAGTTTTAAGACTACGAGAATGTTTACAAAAAGACATTAAACAGACGGAGTGACAGACACGCTTAAATCGATTCGGAACTTTCTTGTCGCTGTTGCAAACGTCTTGACGAAGTGAATACATCGCCCATCCTTGGGTGATTGGTATAAAATGAAAAATTTATCAATGAAATAATGGCATGCAATGCAATGCATATAAAGATAATATCAAATCCAATATATTAAATAAAGCTAATGATCATTAGAATATTTATTGCACCAACATTTGCACGACTAATAAGTACAAATGCGACTTTGCATTCTCCCAACAATTAGTCCAAGCATTCAGCATAGCACACGAAAACAGAGCATGCATTTTTTCATATACCTGTCGATGCAACATTCAAAAGTTGATTAACATTTAGTTTACTTCTAACTTTTACGCTCGTCAGTCAACAAACTCTTCTTTTTTTTTTTCATTTTTCATTAAACAATTTATTTTCACTGAACGAAATGATGTTGAACTCTTTGCAGTGCGCAACGCGAACATTTGCGCTTGTATTCCTTATAGTAGTGACAATTTTGTTAAATGAAAACGAATGCGTTAGCTCTCAAGTCTCATCGGATAATGTCGATCAAGCACATTTGATTTCCAATAACAACAAAGTTAAACGTCTAACGGTGCCTTTAAATGGAAACATGAATATATGGACACAACAACATCCCAATTACTACGATATTCCATACGTACGTACGCCGATGGATTATTTTTCTAATTACCGAAGTTACTTGTTTACAGGTTGGCCTCACTATCTACCCTACCAGCAGCGGGTAAGACAGATAACACAAACGTAGTCTAACAAAATCTTTTGCTTTCATTTGATCAAAACGCTTTACTACTCTATGATTAAACAAATGCATCTCAAAAATAGCAGTCCCCTCTTTCAAATGATGCAAGACTTTCTTCAGAAACACGTAACTGACGACTTCAAAAAACCTTCAACTAAATATGTATAGGCTGAGAGATCTAATAGAACATTGCACGAAAATCAGAAGATAAGCGAAAATTCACACTAGCGGATATAAGAAAATCATCCTCTGGTTGAATGGCCACAACCCCGTCAAAAGCAAATAACATTTTTCTGAACCATCATCATGCCTGCAAGTAGTTTCTGATATTTCAAAAAACAGGAAAACCAACTGCTGATCTATCAGTCGTCACTTGATCGATTGGAAAGTTTCTTGCTTGCAGTACCTCGAGACCCCTCGTAAATGCTTGAAACAACCTTTTTAGATCAAATACTAACTAGAATATCTTCAGACCTTCAATCTTTGTCTGTAAGAGCACCTTCGCCCTTATAGAGAAAGCACGGAAACGAAGTACAGATATGATGTACAAAAATAATTTTATTAGGAGCGAGTGAGTCTTTACATGGCTAAGAAATTCGACTTTACGAACACAACTGTAGGGTTGGATAACCCAGCCACCAGGTCTTCCGAGCTTACCGTATCGTTGACTCGCTCTAGGTGCACAAGGGATACAAGATGATATCGCCCTTAGGTTCAATCACTTAAGTAAAGTTCCTTAATATAGACTTTTTTTTTTGTTATTTTTGCAATTTTCCCTTCCCCTGAAGCCATTAATGGACAAACAAGCTTGGCTAATTATCATAGAAAATAATCATGAGTATTATAAGAAGATTTTTAATCCTCTACAAAGACAGAAAATCTTTGCTATGCAGGTAGAATTAAAGATAATTCTAATTAAGCTCATTTGTCATCATCATTTCCACATGTTTTGTTTATTCTTAAGTGTATCGACGTGAACATGCTAAAGTCAATAAAGTGTACATCTTTATCGTTTCAATTAATAGGTTATCCCACGTTGGCAAGTCGGCTCCAAACTGATTGGCGAAGGTATCGAAGGCATGATTGCATTTCAACCGTTACCCTATAGCAGTCACATAAGGGTGATCTTAAATGCTACTGGCTTACCGCCTGGTAAGCATGCTTTACACATACACACTTATGGGGACATGGGTGACGGTTGCACATCCACTGGGGAACAATTCCCGAATAATTTCGTTAGTAAAATTTTAACAAAATATTACTATTTAAACTTATGATTATATGATTCGCATCTAGTTGGGCAATGTAAACGCGAAAGAGGATGGTAGCGTATCCGTTGCTTTTATAAGCCCTTTTTTAAACTTATTCGGTTTCCATGGTATAGTGGGTCGATCAATTATCATACATGAGAAGCCCATCGATTTGAATACAATTCTAAATGCCGAAATAATCTCCTCAGGCCTACCTGATGCTTTGGCTTCGCAGAATGAAGAGAAATCCGTTGGGGCGGCTATAGCCTGTGGTGTAATTACTGTGCTACAACAACAACAACAACAACAACAACAAACAGAACAAAAAGATTAGTTTAAGTGAAGCTATAAAGAATGACGAGAAAAAATAAAATTACTTATATTTATGCAGAATTTTATTTATGTTATTCGTTTCATAAATTTACGAACTTCCATTTTGTTCACATTTCAGCGGATACCAACGTTCCCTTCTAAAGTGACCTAAGGACTTTGAAAATTTTATGCGATTGCTAATAACTGGATTTTTTTTTTTATTCGGAAAAAGTACTTTCGAAACAGTTCCAAGCAGTATTGAACTTTTTTCAGTGAGGGTTCTACTTCGTAATTTAGTTTACAGTTTTCTAGGAAATTGTTACTGTAAATTGCTGAATTGTTGTGTTAAGACTTTTATTTATTAAAGTTAAAAATTTCTATATGATTTTTTCCTGTCCCTGTATATTTTTTGAGCTTTTCCTTCTACGACATCGAATATCACGGTTGAATGATGATATGGCAACTTTGTCAAAAGAGAATGATTTGTGGAATTGCTTGATCACAAGTTAGTTTTTACTGTTATTTGTATTTTAATTACGTTTTATACGAAAAATTGTCTCGTGCCAAATGATAATAATCGTAATCATTTCTAAAAACGATGTGCGCATATTGACTTTTATTTGGTGTGTTCAGTTTTATGTTTACATGCACATGCTCTCCATTGTGAACAATTTGTTAATTGCCAACATCAAACCATCTTTCAAATTGAATTGACACTTGAAGTTGGCAGTTCTGACATATATGTGTCCAAATTTTTTTCTCTTCTCTAAAATCCAACCGGAACATTTATAAGTTAACTTTCAATCTTAACTCGACACAATGGATTCAGAATTGGATATTATAGATTCGCTGAATGCGCTTAATTATCAGGGCAAATGTTTGAAGAACGATGAATTAACAAAAGCCGTTGAAATTGGCATACGTAGTGAGAGCTTCCGTGAAGTAGTGGTGTGGTTAGCAAAAGAATTACACACGTTAAGAAAGACTGATGAAACTGTCAGCGCTGATGTAGAAGATCCAAATGAATTCTCTATGGAGTTGTCAGCCATGTTAAAGGAATTAAGTTGTCCTTATAAAAAATTTGTTACAGGACCTTTATCTGATCGATTTGCAACTAATGGGGATAGATTGCAGCTGTTGGATTATTTGGTTACTGAATTGATGGCAACTAAAATGAGTTTACGTTTAAAGCCAGCAGAACAAACGTATATAATCCCGAAAAGCGAAACGAACACTGCCCGAGCTCTAGAGAACCTTACAAAGGATTTGTGCTTAGGCAAGCCACCAGAAAATATAGCACCTAAAGCATTTTTCGACAAGCTTAACTTTAAGGTAGAAGAGAGGATTAAATCGACAAAAGCCGGTATATTAAATGAACCTTTAATGAGAACAACGAAATCATTGACCGATGCCCAATGGAAACAATTAGAAGCTATTCATGAGGATCTAGATAAAGAGTATAACTTGCGTCGACAAGTCCTGTTAACGCGTTTAGAAGTAACTATACAAAGTTTCCAGTGGTCGGACAAGATGAGAGCGCGAGAAAATGAAATTATTGAAAGATTTCAAAGTAAACTGAAAGACTTAGAAGCTTATAAATACGGAGGAGATTCTACTAATATTGTTGCTCTGCTAGCTGCGCGAGCGGATTTGGCCATTATAGAAAAGACAAGTTCCGCCAATGTTCGAAAAAATACCGCATCTAAAATTCAGAAACATGTTATAGGCAGTGTGCCCGATCGAGGAGGACGTGCCCACGAACACGCACCACCTCCACCCGAAATGCCGTCTTGGCAACAGCAAAGAGCCCCAGGTCCTGCTGGTGGCGGGGGTCGAGGTGGCCGCGGCGGTGGCGGTGGCGGTGGTGGTGGTGGCGGAGGTGGAGGTGGCCATTGGCAACAATTCGCTTCACAGCCACAACGGCAATCGCATCACCAACAACAAGAACAACAACAGCATTACAACCACCATCAACAGTTCGAGCAGCAACGTAGTCAACATTGGGTTCAGGGGAGCGGTCGTGTTCAGGGATCTGGGTGGGCACAAGGCCAAACGCAAGATTATAATAACCAAGGTAAAAGTTTTCATACATTGTCCCGTATTTTAATTTTTATTTAAAAAATAATTTTTTACAAAAAAAAAAAACAAGGTGTTGATTATAATAACTATCAAGGTGGGAGTAATTATCGTGGTGCTCCTTATAGAGGACGGTCTAACTACAACCGTGGCGGCGGTGGCGGTCAACGCCGTTGAACATGCATGCCCTTCTGCAAGTCGCTGTTCAGTTGAAATTCATCAAACGTATGAAGTGCAGCCATACCCTACGTCCCATACAGAAATTCAACATTTTGTGATCCCCACATATTTACGGGGATATATTCCAGACCATAAATATCAAATAAATAATATCACTAGTAGTTCTAAATAATAAACATTAAACCGCTAGATGACGAGCGTAAATTTTCGTTATAAAAAAAAAAAAAGGAACTGGAGAAAACTCATAATTTTTGCATGACAAACTGCAAAAGGCTACACAAGAACAATAAAATGAGCGAATGGAATCCATCATGTCCGAATAAATAACATCTGATACATATTTCTACACACTGATTGATCTAAGCAATACAACAATTATGCGACGCGCTGCAAAATTATTTATTCGTATGGTATGAATTACTGTAGACTATCTATTTTACATGCCATTTCTCTTAGACTATATAGTATTTCTAGAAATACATTTTTAAACTATTGAATCTCTGAAACAATTAAAACCAATGCAAAATAAAACTAAAGCTTAGACCAGCGACAATACGCACATACTGCTGCGCTCTTTCTTTTTAGGAAAATAATTTATTTCACTACAAAAAATACTTTAAAAAAGCAAGAGATCTACGTATCTATGTATGTATCTAACGAGCTCTTGGATATTAAAAAGCAGCGGTAAATTATTCATTTTCAGTAAAGTTTTCAATAAAACAATTAAATTAATTAAAGATAACGCAAACGTTTATAAAACTTTTGTATGCTTTGCATCATTTTATTCTCTTCCAATTCACAAACACATTTTTCATTTAAAAACAAAGAACGAAAAAAGAACGGTTCCAAAGATGGTGAATGTAACCAAAGCAGAGTGCATCTTTCAATGCAGAACGCACAAAACAAAGATTTTAAAGACGCGAAACACGTCAAGGTGGAATTTAAGTACTCAACAGTATATTACTATATATTTACAGTCATGGAAAACCAGGAAAATCAAAATATTTAAGATCTAGTTACGTGTTCATCATTCTATATTTGTCATAGCAAGTTTAAGTGCCTCCGTTAGGTTGGGAATCCTTATCATTTTTGTTTTCCTTACAAGTACCATAGAAAAACTGACTGTCTTGTAGAGCGCGTTTCGACTCATCGGCATCTAGCAAATCTTTGGCTAAACATTTATCCTCTTGGATAGCGTGTATTAAGTCTTCCAAAGAATCAAAATTCTTTTCAGGTCTTAAAAATCCAGCAATACAAGTTTTAAGTAATGAACCGTACAAGTCGCAGTCAAAATCATGCAATATGTGAGTTTCCTTTAAAAATAGAAGAAAAAGGAGAAAGTTAAATTTATGTGCACAAAATCTGTATTCATTTTTTATTATATATAAAGTAAAGAAAGCGATACAACAAAGCTTAAATAGAATCTGCATAAATATATATGACATATTGCAAAAAGTCTATCTATTATCTAGGGATTTGGAAAGATATATTTACTTTACTTTTAATTTATTCACATCCCACACTATTTCCGAGTTATACGGCTTTTGAATAAATCAATCTTTTACAGCTTGGGAATTGACACTAATAACTTTAAGTGAGAAGCCACGAATTGTTCTGCAAATAAAACACGACCATTGATCACGAATTCAAGTCAAAGCCCAGAAGCTAGATTATTTATATTTTAATATTTACAACACTAGAACGGGTAAAAAAGTTGAATTCGGCTGCGGCCGACTCTTGTATACTCAACAACATTTTTAATACTTCTTTAGAATGTACACAGTTCTTCCCACTCTGTGGCAAACTAAGCCAACTAAATTTTATTTGATAATGGATAGGTGTGCTTAATTTTTCCTCATTAATGGTACACCAGTTAGATAAGAAATTGCTTTTCCACATTTATTTGTAATGTAATATGCGTAAGCACTTTGGATCAACTTAAAACTGAGACAAAAAGCTAAAACTTTCTCATTAATTGGTGGCACACTGCTAGCAAAAACACTTAAGTGTAAAATGAAGTTGAAACAACTTCTTCATTTTCACATATATATCAGAGATTGTAAAACCTTCTTCGGTGCTTACCATGCTTTTTTCTTTGTTATTGTAAAACGGATTCCAACCAATACTCATAACCATTTTGTAAACTGGCCCATTATCAACATTTGCCCAGCCGTAATAAATCCCCGTCTTAAAACAACACGGTAAAGACTTAACCACTTCCAAGGGATAGTTCGCTGGAAATATAAATAAATTAATAAAAGTAATTTTTAATATTAATGAAATATCCGCACACCTGTCGGCACTCCGAGTTCAGAGGAGCCACGGCGAAAACCTTCCACTATGCAGCCACTTGCATAGTACGGTAAATAGTTAAGCATATCACAAAATTGACGTTTCAATATTGTAAATAAGCACTGCACAGCCCGTATTGAGTAACTACAAATAGAACTTTAAAATCAATTTTAACGACGATATATTGCTTGACTGGTACTGTTGTCACAAATTTATCAGCTGTGTTATTGAATGTGTTTACGTTAATAGAAGAGCTAAGAGAGTTGAGATAAAGAAATAATAAGCTTTTTACTCAATTATTTTATAGGTTGTGAAAATACCTTTTCGTATCAATTTAATGGTGCAATAAATAAAATCCGCACCCCTCTATGCGCTTTGCGCTGCAACTACAAATTGTCTAATTGTCTAATGCCAGTATCACTTTTTGCATAGAAAAAAACTAATCAGCCACACACTATCAGCCGCAAACTTATCTTCGTTTCCTTTTAATCGTCATAAATGACATTTCAATGTTCTATATATTGTTTTTAATAAATGCAGAGTGTGCCAAACAGATCTGATTAGTTCTTGAACATTTCAGCTAACTCTGAAAAACGACGCTGTATCCGAATATTTTATTAATAGAGACATAAAACAGCTTTATTTCTATGATCACATTTAATATACAGATTTGATTATGTTCATGTATTTACTATAAGTTACTGTAAGTCATAGCACAGATTTTTGATCGAAGCATACAAATTGCTTTTGACAAACACGCGTACAAAATTGCTTTCATTGTAACATTGAGCGGAAAAGTTGAGATTATTGACAAACAACCCGACAAATTGTGAAATATGAAACATATGTGATCTGGGCTGTTATAATTTGTTATTAAATGAATTGACGATGACGATTTTCGCAAAGATTGCAAACAACTTGTTTTTCACATAAAGAAAATGAAATGGAATTACTATAGCTTTTCCATACATTAATATCACTTTTTTTTTTAAATGGCATAACGAAAATGCTGCCCAGCATGAGAATATTTTTAATTCGGCAACTCTGATTTTATTAATATCGTCGCAAAAAATAATTTACAGAAAATTAGTTGTTGATATATTAATTTAATTGTACACTTACCCACAAAGATTTTCGTCTTTGAACAAATAAGTATTTTATGCATTTTGGTAAAAAATAACGCGTACTTCTAAAAACGGTGAAGGGTTAAGTGTTAAAATGCAATAAAAATCATTTAACGAAAATTAAAACAAAAACACCCCTTCAGAAGTAAATATAAATAAGAAATGCCAATTGGAATTTTGTATGTGTGTACGTGTATAGAAAGAAAAGAAATAAGTTCTCAAATCAAAAGAAAAGGTGGTAAAATAAAAAATGAATTATTTATGCTAAATTTCCATTAACGGTTTCTTTAAGAATTCAATTCATTATTTCCTCTGTTTAATTGAGAATTAACGAAAATTATTGAAATAAAACGAAAACAGGAAGAGAAAAATTCTAAACAGTCAAGCAAAAAAAGGCAAGTGAAAATTTGTTTTTCCACTCTCTTTAGAGTTAATATAGTAACGTGCGTGGGGGGGCGGGCAAGCAAAATAACAAAAAATTTTAAGTTAAAATTCCTCCATTAAATATTATAAATCTTATCATAAACTATACTATTCATCTCAGCTATTCTCTCACATTCCTGCACGCTGCAAGTTTTGTTATTTTCCAATTTGTCTGTTTTGAAATTGAGAGATAAGTATTCGAGATAAATAATACTCTTTTTTTTATTGTTAATTTATTCAAGATGTACGGTTCATCATTAAAAAAATATGTTGGCGTATCTTGTAATTTCTAGTTTATAAATTATTATTGCACTTGCCTACCTTATAGACAAGAACCATTTTCAATCGAAAACTGCCGAATACTTAAATACCAAAAATTGTCATTTGGACGAAGAAGCCCTTAAAATGATATTGCAAACTTTTTTATCAATAATGCAAAATTATATTCTTCATATCGTAATAAGCTGCCACTTTTCACTTATGAATCGGATTTGAAAATAAAGCTAGTCTTTTTTTCATGCTCGTACATATTAACCTCAATTCTTTTGACCATCGAATGTATCCGAACGCGATAAGTTATATTTACAACAAGGAAAATTTAAATTTGTGGGTGTAAATAAAGTTTCTCTTTAAGCTCAATAAGATTTTTATCTACTATATACCGATTTGACTTGCTACATCATCAAGTCATGGTTTAGTACAGTCCAGTGCAATAATTTCTTGCCCGTAAGATTCGAATTAGAACGAAAACCTTTTCTTAATCCTATACAGGATACAAATTGAAAAAAAAATGGTTAATTTTAAAAGCATCTTACCAATTAATTGCTATAAATGTTAAAGATATCATTCTAAAATCTAGCAAAAATTTGTTCCAACCATTTGACAGACGCAACTGGCCACAATTGAAGCGAAACAGTGATTTCGGATGTTCCTTTAATTGATGGATGTTCGAGATTCTCCTAATGACAAGAGCTGCTTTCTGAACTAAACAGGTATTTTTAAAAGGGCTACAATTTATCCTTCTATAATAAGCACATTTTTTTTTTTTTTATCTATTTATATTCGTTATTTTTTATTATGATTTTTCATAACTTCTGTCAAGCAGAGTATATCGTCAGTTTTGAAATTCTAGATTGCTTTAATTGTACATCTGCATTTCAAACAGTTGTTAATAAAATTTTTGAAGCCTAGGCAGCCGTGGTATCTTTTTTTTAAAATACATATTTACATGCAAGATTTGGCAGAGCTGTAGAGAGATCATATTGAATGGTCTCGTTATTGCTAGTTGAAACTATTTTCAATTTTGACGTCGAACGGTGCGTTTTAAAGCAATCTTGCGTGGAAAATCCTCCCTAACTTTAGTATATAAATCTGTTTTTAATAAAGTAAAATCAATAATTTCTCCTTATATAAGAGTTATTTTGAGCATATTTTATGTTGTTCTAGATTAACATGGCCACTTCACCACGCTCTGTAGATACAATATCACTTTGTTCTACCGTGTCCAGTTGTCCAGATCGTAATGGGTTTTATGGAGGTTTTCAACGTACAGATAAACCCAAAGAGCCCTTGTCGAAAGCACAAATTATAGCTCGAGAGAAAAAATGGCTTTACATGATTGACAATTGGTCCTTGTATATGTCAAAAAACTACAAAAAGGTTGCTTTCCTTCCTTTTATTAATAAAATTTGATTAATTAAACAGTTTACAGATACGAGACCGCTGTCGCAAAGGTATTCCAAAATCGGTGCGCCCACGTGCCTGGTTCTATTTGTCCGGTGCCTATTTATTAAAAAAGAAAAATCCAAATATTTACAAAGAGTTGTTAGAAAAGCCCGGTAATGCGCACATTATTGAGGAAATCAAAAAAGATAAGCATCGTCAATTTCCATTTCATGAGATGTTCTTGGACGAAGATAAAGTGGGACAAATTGAACTATTTAATGTTTTAAAAGCCTATTCGATATACAATCCAAAAGTTGGTTTCTGTCAGGCCCAAGCACCGATAGCGGCTTTTTTATTAATGCATTTACCAGCCGAAGACGCCTTTTGGGTGTTTGTTAGCGTGTGCGATGTGTAAGTACTTAAGCAGTTGATAAAATCAAAAAAAAAAAACCTTAAAATCTTTGAATTTTAGTTACTTGGAAGATTATTTTATCAGTGGTCTAGAGGTATTACAAAACGATGCCGGCATATTAGAAGGTCTTCTTAAAAAAACCTGCCCGCCCGTGTACAGACATCTACAAAAGCACAAAGTTGAACCTTTATTATACATGACTGATTGGTTTTTGTGTGCCATGACACGCACGCTGCCATGGGAAACTCTACTGCGGGTATGGGATTGTTTCTTGGCAGAGGGTATACGAGTTATATTTAAGGTTGCGTTGGTTATATTGGGAGCTACTTTAAATCGTCACAAAGTACGCAAACAGTGCAACGGGTTGTGTGAAACACTGGAAGTCTTACGTAATCCGCCGGAGCATGTACTTGATGAGGATTTCATTATAAATAATATGCAACGTTTAAATTTACGTGTGGAAGACTTTCAAATAGAACACACCCGCCAAAAAGCTCGACGCGCCAAACAAAAAGCACAAGAGGCAACAGCTGCACAAAACCATTCGAACACAAATACCTTTAGCAGATCCCGAGGATCTAGTCCCACAAATGGCAGCAACAGTGGTAACATAACAGTTGTTAATGTTAATGTGGGTGATGGAGCCGATGTAGACACAACTGCTCCCATTTCCATTAAAAATGGTAGCTCCAACAGCGGTCATCGTCCATAATAACAAATTTTTAGTGAATAACAAAACAAACGCAGAGCGTTTTTGTTTTTTTTTTTTTTTATTTCTCTTGTAATAACTTAAATGATAAAGAAAAGGAACGATAAGTATTTCTAAAAGTTATAAACGATTAACACATACAACCTTTCTCCTCCTAATTATTTTAACTCCTTCAGACCTAAAATCTACAAATTTAACAGAAATGTTTTGTATATAATTATAGAATAAACTGTTTTAACTGCTTTTTTTTCCTTCTTTCTATTCACCTTCGAGAAACACAATATGTGACGTTGAAATTTGTGTGTGTATTTTAAAGGTCAATTATCTATGTTTACAGTCAAACGACTCCTTTTTTCTATAGGAACATTTCTTTTTCGCTCATTCCATGGAAACAATACAAGTAATCTTTAATTTCCAGCACTGTACCCAAAAAAAAAAACTCAGTTCTTTAAAAGTCTTTGATATGCGTACAAAGCTGTTTACTGTTTAAATGCCCGTCTGAAGCGTCTACAAAGCTATGATTAGTTTGGATACCAAGCAATAAGGGAAATGTAATTTTTTTAAGCATCTTTATTTTTCCCTTTGAAAGGCAAAATATTTTTTATTTATTTTTACTATTTAATTATTTTGTGCAATTCGTTTGTTTCGAAAATAAAGTAAATTTGAAAAACTAATGACCTAAAATTGCTCTTTTTCCTTTTTCGACAACTACATTGAAATCGATTATTGACTTCAATTGTTCTGAATACGTGCTCAGGTGAGCTTTCGGAGGCAAATTTCTTAGAAGTGCAAGAAATTTTTAAAAACTTTCTTTTAGTTTCATGTAATTCCTTTTATCTTATCATTTTTCTTATTTTCTCTTATTTGTTCAAAAAAGAACCAGTGCAAATTCAAAACGAACGTATAGAAGTCAAATTAATTAAGAGGTCAAGTTACTCTTCCATATATTTTTAAACAATATTTTTTTTTTTTTTTTTAATAAAAAGAGGATGTTGTATATAGTTTTAATCGTATATGCTAAGAAAAAAAACTTCTAAGGTTAACTGTGATTAGTGCAATAAAATAAGAAAAAATAAATTTAGTTTTCTTTTTTAAAGAGAATGATGACAATATTTAATTAGTAAGATATTAATTGACGTAATAGACGTTTGACTAGCGAGGTCATTTTTATCACACAAACCGCCTATTAAAGATATTCAATACTAAAAAATTTTTATTTCCATTTCAGAGCAGATTTACTTTAGAAAAACCTTCAATTTTCAATGAAGATAATGTCGTTTATGGCATCAAATCGGAAAAGTGATTTTTTAATGAACGCTCCTACTCCATCAACTCCCTAACTAACATGTGTACATCGCGCGACTCGTTAATGTGGATTAAAAGACCCTACAAAATAATTAAGCATATTAATTAATTAATAATAATTCTATGCCCAATATGCCTCAAAATTGCTATGTGCATAACTTACGATATGCCCAATGCTACCTAATAGTTAAAAAATGTTCTTAACTCAAACATCCCGCTCTTCTTCCCATCGATTGCTCTCTCAGTGTTTAACGCATATAATTACATATACATATAATATATAAGTGTCGACCCCAGATTCTCAAGAATATCTGCCTCGATAAAACGATACATATCTCAATTGCTTTGTCAAAACAAGTCTGATAATTTTTATAAGCAGTAACCTTTTGTTGTACGATGGGAAAAAGTACAAAAAATATTTGACATATGCATACACTCTTAAATAAGACGTGGCTGTTATTTGCGCATTTCTACCGCCGCGCATTCCACGTTCTTTTAAATTGAGAAATCTAAATTCACACTTCAGATCTTGAAAATTTATATTTGATCTAACAATATACTCACATAGCACACACATGTAGCAACTATATAATTGTACGAAGTTTTCGTTTTCGAAAATAAAGAAAGCATGTCTGAAGAAATGTAAGAGAAGAAGAGATCCGTAATAATGCCTTTGCGAATCTTCCCCTAGAAATAAATAAACAAATGGACGAACACAAGAATATAGGGTGCAAATTATATTTACATATATTTCTCTTCATTTCTAATCAATAAACGCTAGACCGTGACAAAAGCTTCACAATCACAAACATGAAACTCATTTTCTGTTTTCGAAAAATTTAGTAATCACTTGTAATTTTGATTAGAATGTTTAACGTGTAACGAAGTTACGAAGGTCGAAAAGTTTACGTGCCTAGCAACTTTTATATTATTGTAGCAGGTAAAACAAGGAAGTAAACGCGTCATCTCCCCCCAAATGTCGCACATATATATTCCTTGCTTTACTCTTCGGTGTTTTCCTTAGCCAAATCGGAAAAGAAGTCTGACGCATTAGTGAATTTAGACGATGGCAAATTGTGATGCTTCTCTTTGTATGCGTTGTGCTTCTCGTTGTATTTAATATCACCAAAATCTTCGAAATATTTAACATTCCAGAAACGTACGTCGTTATGGTGCGAAGAAGAGGCAATTAATTCGCCATTATTACTGATATCCAGAGATTCTATTGGCATTGTATGCTGACCAACAATTCCTAAATTACGAAATGGCGCCACGTGGACAGCTCTTATAATGCCCTCTTCGCCTGCCACGCAGGCGATACGATCGGTAATCGGAATCATTTCACTCATAGATGCCTTCACTCCCGGAAATTTGTCGCTATGATAACCAAATTGCCCCCAATTGAATGTGTACAAATTACCCTTGGAAGAACCGACTACGAGCTTGGAGTCCCCCCTATAAATTCCCATGCAAGTTAATTCCTCCTCATAAGGTTCAGATTGTACATATAATTTACGCGCGGCAATATTGATGGTCGATAAGTAACCTCCGCCACTGGTTGCAAAGAGTAATTTTCCTACATCGTTCGTTAATAATTGGGTTATGTAATCTTCTACTTCTTTAAGACCAAAAATTTCATTTTTCATGCGTAAATCCCAAAGTTTAATAGTGCCCGCGTCATCGCCGGTAGCAAAAACATTGGCATCAATGACGTGTAACTTGTTTATAGCGTCCTCGTGAGCATTTTCATAAAATTTCTTCAATTTCTCGGTTTCTACATCGGTTACCTTCAAGAAAAAGCAGAAAATTACTTTGAAGGAAAGCAAACAGCTCTTGTTCCTCTTGAGATAAGTTGATAATCCATTGTGTGTTAGTAACAAATGAAAGGGTGTGTTTAGTAAAATTTACCATTATAGATTTGTCTTTGGAGCAGGTAAGTAAGTAACAGCCATCCTCTGTAAATTGAACATCGCGGCAAGCCTGAATTAAGTAGAAGGGTTTTAACAAAATACAAAATAAAAATAATTAAATAGAAACCTTGGCGTGAACTTCAATATTGTGCAACAGTGTATTCTTTTGATTTGAATACTCGTACAAACAAACATCCCCGGAAATTGTAGCCACAGCGATAATATCACGCTCAGGGTGAAAACAAATGTCGGTAACAAAATCTTCCAACTTTATTTCAGGCGGCGAGGAACGCGGTTTTTTTATAGCCGCAATAATAGCTCTGACGGTCTCATCGTCTTCATCTTCCTCTTTCAATTCAAATACTGAACTTTTAATACTCTTCGTAATATCAGCAACATTATCAATACCATCTTTTCGTCCGCCGCAGCTTTCTGTGCCACCTCCGTCATCACTTGTTTCAGTTTGAACATTTTTATTCAATGTCGATGGTTTCGGTCTGACTAAAGGTTTATTCGCATTATCCCTTTCGTCGTTGCTTAAGGTTTCATCTGTATTTTCGGCCATTTCATCAAATTCTGAACTATCCTCAGTATCGTCATCTAATTGGAAGTCTGCATCCCTATTATCGACATCATCTTCCGAATCACTAGCTTGCATATACCTTGCTTCGTTATCTAACAAATCTTCATCATTTTCCATTTCTTCGACTTCCTCTACCAGCTCATCATCGATGAACTCAGAGTCGGAACGATCGTCTGGATTCTTGAAATTTTGATGCCTGTTGCAAAAACATTTGATTTTTTTATATAAACACAAATGCTGAATAATCTACTTACAAACGCATACTTTTCGAGAAGATTATTCTATCTTTATATCGTTTGGTACACGTGAGAAATTCTTGTAGTTTAATTGAACAAATCACTTCTCCTTCTTTTTATGTTCACCCTATTATATCTTTTCCATCTAAAAGCCACGCTTTTCTGCTAAAAAAATAAGAAACACACACAAACCCAAAAAAAAATAAGAAAAAAGAAAATGCTTCTTCTTGTGTATTAATTCTGTTATACATACATGGTTGACAACACATTCAAGATTGTCTCCACCCGTTTAAAAGAAACGAAGGGTTCAGCAAAAAATGGCCAGTTATGCATTGTAACTGCTACACATTTAACACTCCAAAAATCCAAAAAAAAAGAAAAAAAAAAGAAAGAAAAAGAAATCCGCGATGTAATGAATTTAATACGTTGAAAATTAAAAATATAATAATAAATTTTTTCTCCCCGACATCGACATTCAATTATAAAATTCAAAGTTTGCTGGGTTGACTCATTATAACTTTCATCGCAAGTATATAATTTCAAAGTAGTTTTGGTGTTTTATAGGTACATTAATAATAAATACATTTTCTAATTAATCGTTTTCTACAACGGGGGTAATGTAGAACTGGGCGTAGACTTCCGCTTGATTTTCATCTTGCATCATAAAATGCATTTCTAATAAGCCGGTTAAATCCGTTTTAATAGCTACCTTGCTGGCTGCTAACATAGCTCTCTGAGTGGCACGCATCAACGAAATTTTATATCTGCCTGTGGTAATGTTTTTACAATTGAAGAGTATCATCATTTCGCTTGTTTTGGCCACTTCAATGCTACATTCGGATTGCATAACTCCCAATGTTTCCACTTTAAAATATGGTTTACGTGGTGACAATGTTATCTGCAATTCTTCAGCTGATTTATCCAAGTCGTGGAATATGTTTGCCATTTCGCGTCCTTTTATAAAAACGGTATTCAAGCTATGACTATCCGCATCTAAAGAGAAGTCCATCGTCTCGTCATAGTGTGTAGTTTTAATGGAGCATTCCGTTCTGATGTTATCCTCATCATGTGGTTCCAATATTATCACTAAGGGATCATCATCTTTGTAAAACATTTTCATGCTACAATCAGTGCCGGCAAATATACTCAAGCACTCAATTAAGACATTCATGTTGATAGTAAAGTGCACTAAGCCATCCACATGATAATCGCTAAAACATGACGGCGTAATAAATAAATTAGCTTGTATGCATTTGCCCTGTTCCACAGTACAGCGTAAACCATCTTCGTTAATATGGAATATTCCATGATCCCCAAAACCTACAGAACGTATCCCGGCTGCAAAAGTTTTTATATTCTCTAAACAACCGACAAACCGATAATTAATATATTCCAAGCCAAGTGTCATTTTATGTGAAAAATTATCTCCGCTTCCCTGTAGTGATGCTGATGCAAATTCTTTCAGTAAATTATCGAATTTATGAGGTTGCACCTCTTTGAACTGTATGCAGTTAACGCAATTATCCAACAAAAAAGCTAAACGCAAAGCTAGCACATGCTCGCAAGTATAAGCTTCTCCCAATTTCAGCACTTTAGTCTGAAAAGACTTGCAAAAGCAAAAATTAACGTCGGGAAGCAAATGTACCAATTTCTTCTTCCTTTTCTTTTTAATAGAGCAATCTTCTGTAATTACGGCTAAAAAGGATGACTTCCCTGCGTTACTAAAAACGGTAATAGTTTGATTATCTATAAACTGGCGCGCAAAAGCAACAAGTCGTGAACCCAAAGCTGAGTTTAATTTCGCGTAAAAATCAGCTGAAATCGTACCATTTGTTAAATTATGTTTTCATATCATGCAATTAAAGAGTACCTAAATCATCGATTGATAAACTTCCTTTGTATCGCTCGAAAATTTCTTGCAATAAGAAAGGCAAACGGCACGTTGCACTTTGCATTTTGCTTTCTTTCTTTTTTGTTTACATCCCCTGCCTGCCAGGCTGCCAGATTATCGAAAAATTTCTTCGTTTCGAGTAGTTTTTATGCCGTGACAAGCTCCTAGTTCACTAAATCTGGACAATAATTATGTATCTATTCGTTAACTAGCTCTCACTTGAAAAGCGTATCTTGAGAACCATTCGGTGGAGAGTTATGTACGGCTCTCGTCATTCGAAATTAAGTTCGAAAAAATAATGGAAAAGTAAGCGGCAAATTTGACGTAGAATTATATAAAATTTTGATGAAATAAAATGAAGTGAAATAATTTCACATAATCTATATTATTTCATGATTTCATTTCTTAGGAAAGCTTCGTATTTTATTATAATATATATACAATTTTATTTTTATTTTATACAATATATTAGTATATTAAATTTAATTCTTAACTGAATTGCAAATCAATGCTAATTTTGTATTATTTAAAAAAAAGCCAACTTTTTCATTTTCACAAAACATCTTAAAGCGGGTTTATTCTGTATATCTCTTCTTTTAATACAATAACATACGAAAGATATGGCGGCTTATTCGCACCTAGCGAAAATTCGACAATGTCGTCATTCTGGGAGTAATCCTCTAAGCTGGCGACAATGACCATCAAAATCTTACCATGTTGGCAAAATAAACATTTCAAAGGAAGAAGAACAAGCAACCTACACCAAAAAGGAAGAAGAAAAAGCAACCTGAATCGAAAAAGAAGAAGAACAAGCAACCTGCACCAAAAAGGAACAAGAACAAGCAACCTACACCAAAAGGGAAGAAGCTATCGTCCTCAAATATGGCACAAAAATTGGAAGTTCTTGCACGCAGGTTGGTATGGAAAATGAGGCAATCCGCCTTCAATACCACGTAAGCTGAGAAGACCTCTGTTTTTCAAAAGGTACCAAAAATTGGTACAAAAATATACAAAAATTTGAACGCAAATTTTGTGTGCTGTACCAAATGGGGAAAATTCACCACACCTATCTCTATAACGCGCAGAAATCAGCTTAGAAAATCCCGTAAAGTACGCAAATTCTTGGCCAGTTTTAAATTTGAAATGCATCTAAACATGTCCGCCTATTCGTCTGTCCGTCTGTCTATTGTCACAACAGCAAATTTCCTGGCGATTGTCGCTAAATCCGCTCTTTGAGTCAAATCTGGCGACAATAAAATTGTTCTAACTGAGAACAAATTTGCATTAGCATTGAGTATAAACCAAACAAAGTTAGTAGAAAAACCGCTGTAAAAGAAAAAAATAAACAGCTGTTAGAAAATGAATTATTATTCAAAAATTTAAAAAAAATAAAGTGAGCCCAAAAGTAGATTTGTGAATTGTGAGGCTTGGTAGGCGGTAAGAAAAAAAAGTGAAAGTGCCAAAAAACGGCGTCTTTCTGTTTTCTTTTCAGGTGAAAGTGGATACTCCCTAGAACCTTGGCTGATGACACCTCACCGAAGTTCGGCGAGTACTCTAAAAAAGAATACAACGAAATTCTTTTTAAGGCGAAGGACATTATGGAAAGATGCATAGGTGTGTACAAAGTTTATAGTATTTAGTATTTCGGGGATCTAACTACAGTTTTTGAACATTTCTCTAGGTATATAAGTGGATATTTGGTCTTTATGTGAATAGAAGACCTAATTTTTAGCAATATGAGAACAACGACCTAACATATAAAGGCAAAAGTGCCAAAGTTGAACCTCATTCGCATGTTTAGCTTTTTTTTAAGCTTTTGGTGTTTTATGACGAGAACACATGATCATTTCTTTACGTTATAGTATTAAAATGATTATAATTTAAAAATAAATTGGAAAAAAGAGATGCGTCTGGTCAGCTTAGCCAAATATATGCAATCGAACTTTATTCTCTGCGTTTTAACATTAAAATAATGACAAGTAGAGAGAAGGGAAGGACCTCATCTCTGATATCCTCAGAAGATTTAAGGTTACATTAACAACAAAGCCAATAGGCACAACGTTAATATTTAAAGGGACAATCTTGCCAAATCTGAATATCATATGTATATATGTATGGAAGGAAATGAAATCACAAAAAAATGTTCCCGAACAGTTTCGTCACATTAAAGTAAATACAATAAATACGGATGAAGTCCATTTAAGCCGGAGCGGTATGCGCTCACTGACGTACAACAAGAACGCAAAAAAGATATGTAACGATAATTTGTAATTATTTTTCAGCCAAAACTTGCATTCTTCTTAAATTTTGATGCAAAATATAGAAAAGTTCGTTACATTTGTTTATGGGAAATCTGCCGCTCCTTGAGCAGTAAAAACGCAAAAAATAAGCAAAGCATATGAGAGGAGAAGATTCGGATACATTTACTCAAGAAGATATTAACGTATGTCAAATGGCTTTGTGCTTTAGAAATGCAATATACCTCAGAAAGCGATCGATAACTTCAGAGATACTAAGTCTACTATCGAAAAGCAGATATCATATCAGCTGTTGCTAAAAAAACCGCTATTTTTATGGCTATGTTTTTTGTTGTTGAAAATCTGCTATTGTGTGTGGTTGCTGTTGCAATTAAGGGTTCGTTTTGATTGGTTCAGTTTTTGCATGCATTGATCCTTTACACGTCTATTTGTTTACATTCTAAAGATATCACCATTATTTGCTGTTGCTAGCAAATTTTGTATATATTGTTATTATCATTATTCATTTACTAACCTCATATACATATACTTTTGCTGTCCCTTTAAAACCTTTACCATCCGCAAAAACTTTTAAGCAAATAAGCATTACTTTTTTCTTTTTTTTTTGTTATTAAAATATTCCAACTTACCACACAACGAAATTGAAATTGAACTGATAAGTAAGTTTTCGCTTAAGACGTTCATTGTATTTTTTTTTTAGTCTAAGAATTCAATTCATTAGTCTAAAATTAAAATAATAATAATAATAATATTTGAATTATAACGCCTCCGTCCATTAACTCTTTAACATATTTTCCGTATTGGCGGTCACGATAAAAACGGTTACAGAAAGCCAACAGATCGGAAGCATCTGAGATCAATTTATAATTACCACTTGTTAGATTACAAATCAATGGCAGGTATAGCGTATTCGAATCAAAAACATGAAATTTATCATTATTCTTTAATTGAAACCAAATAGAGGTATATCACTGTTAATGATATAATTGATATAGTCTCCAATTAAAGAAGTATGAAGATCAAGTAAAAGCTGCTAACTTTTAATGGTTAAATTCCATTGATACTTCTATATTTATATAGTTTAAGCAAAAAAAAAGATTACATTGATTGCTGCTTTATAATGCGATTTCGAATTTAGAAGCATATGAGAGTAATTAAATAAGCAACTCTGTTCAAGTGAAGTTCAATTTATTTAAAGCATACTTAGCGCGTAATTACAGATAGTTGATGATCATATGGAGGGTGAAAAACGTTGAGAAATTAAGAAAAGTAGAAAGTTTAAATAACTTGATTGTCTGCTCTCTTTTTCCTTCTCTCTTCTTTTCACTGTCAGCTGACTTTGTTTTCATATTTTTATTAATTCTGAAGCAAGACTGTTGTTAGTTTTTATTTTTTGGAGATTTTTTTTATTGATTATTGAATTACTGTTATGGATTTGGGCGAAAGTCTTGAGGATGAACAGAAATTTGTTATTTATAAATACGACGACTTATTTAGTGAAAGTTTTCCTTTAATGAAAGAAATACGCCGGTTGGGGAAATTAACTGATGTGACATTAAAGGTGAGTTATTTTAATATTATTAAATATCAGAATATTATCTACATCGATACAATCCTTATTAGGTCGAAGAACAGACATTTTCAGCTCACCGGATAGTGTTAGCATCGACGATTCCTTACTTTTACGCGATGTTTACTAATAACATGGCTGAAAGTCGTATTAAGGAAATTACTATGAAAGAGATCGAGCCTAGTGCTTTGGAAAGTTTGATCAACTTTGCGTACAGTGGACAGGTGCGCATCGATAATCAAAATGTCCAAAGTTTGATGGTCGGTGCTTCGTTTCTTCAATTGCTTAAGGTCCGTAACGCTTGCGCCGATTTTCTCATTTCACGATTCCATCCTCATAACGTTTTGGGCATAAGAATGTTTGGGAATACGATGAGTTGTACACATCTCATACAAGCGGCCGAAAAGTATATCGATCAAAATTTTACAAAAGTTTCGCAATCGGACGAATTTCTAGCACTAGATTTCGATGAACTAATTGACTTAATTAAACGTGACGAACTTAATGTAATCTCTGAAGAGGTTATATTTGAAGCCTGTATGAAATGGGTAAAGAATGGGGAAGAAAAACGCGCATCCATGTTTCCACAAGTGCTGGCTCAAGTGCGTTTACCTTTGTTATCACCTCAATTTTTGGCAGATCGAGTGGCCCGGGAAGAACTTATAAGATCTTCGCATCAGTGTCGAGATTTATTGGACGAAGCTAAAGATTTTCACTTAATGCCAGAGAGAAGGGGACTTTTGCAGAGTTTTCGGTAAGTAATATCATCATATCATAGAATAATCTCAATTGGTTTTTGCGTAGTATCGTAGAAAAAATGCCCTTCGCAATTTTCAAAAGCCCAATGTCCGAAGGAAACGTGCCCATTATATAGTAAATTATCCCCCTTCCTTTAGATGTATCTTATGCTTATGCCTTTTTTTTAAAGTCTTAAAATGTTTTCTAAAAGGTACAAGATGCACAATGATTATTGGAAAGTATGCCTTTTCCAAACTGTGTGCTTATATGATCCTTTTTTGAAGAGACTCTGGCAATTTCAGTTATACAACTGATGAATGTTAAAGTTTGAATTAAAAAAACGACGCTGCCTTCTTTTGAAATGTTAAGCCCAATTTTAAAATGTAAAGCTTAGAATAATTCGAATTCAAGGTGTTTCGATTTTCCAGAACTAGACAGCGAGGAGAGTTTATATCCGGACAAATCTACGCTGTTGGTGGTCTGGCTAGCAACGGAGAGTCGGTTAGTACAGTTGAGATTTATGATCCCTATGAAAAAAGATGGCGCATGGGGGAACAAATGTCTATGATGAGGTTAGCATACAATTCCTACACTAAAATAGACTAGACTTAACTTGCATGCTTTTATAGATCTCGTGTCGGTGTTGCTGTTATGGATGGAAAATTGTACGCTTTCGGAGGATTTAATGGCTCTGAACGACTATCTACTGTAGAGGTGTATGATCCTAGAAAGAATATTTGGACACAAGGAAGTGCAATGAATTGTAAAAGAAGGTAGGTTCATGTGAAACTAAAGTTTCTTTTCCTTTTTTTCATCTAATGTATTTAGTGCTGTTGGGGTGGCCGCATTAAATGACTGCATTTATGTTTGTGGCGGCTACGATGGTGTAACAAGTTTAAACACGGTCGAATGTTACTGCCCGAAAACAGACATATGGAAGACCGTAAGTAATAGAAATTTTCGAAAACTAGTTAGCTTGATGATGATGATGATATAATTATTTAGGTAGCTCCTATGGTGAAATATAGGTCAGCCGGCGGTGTTGCGGCTGTAAATGGTTATGTTTACGCGTTGGGAGGACATGATGGACTGTCTATATTTGATTCCGTAGAACGTTATGATCCGGTTAATGATGTCTGGCATAAAATGAAATCTATGTTAAATCGTCGCTGCCGTTTAGGTGTGGCTGCTTTGAATGGTAAACTGTACGCTTGCGGAGGATACGATGGAAATTCATTTCTACGCTCTGTTGAAGTTTATGACCCTATCAAGAACTGCTGGTCTTTAGTGACGCCTATGAATTGTAAGCGTAGTCGTGTCGCCCTTGCGGCCAATATGGGCAAATTATGGGCGATCGGTGGTTACGATGGAGAAACTAATCTCTCTACGGTAGAAGTTTATGATACAGAAACAGATGAGTGGTCATTTGTACCATCTATGTGCGCCCATAGCGGAGGAGTTGGAGCTGGAGTAATACGTAGTGAAAAATGTTTCATTTCTAAAACTTAGATAAATTCCATCTGCCTCAATCCATGTTGGCATGAGATAATGTCATTTCAAAAAAAATCGTTATAAGATCAAAACCTCTAATATATGCTTACATTCCAAAATTTAGTTTAGGAAACTTAGACGAAGAACTCAATTTTGGATAAGCATCAACTCTGACGTTTTTGTTAATTGAGAAAGCAAAAACTATACATACATCGGAAGTAAACATGGAAATATGAAATTCCGTTTTTTTTTAAAGAGATTAAATACATATGGACGGAAACCAGTAATAACTAATTTCTAAAACATTTCTCATTGTTGTTGTTGTTTGCCTTGTGAAGGTAATTTCGTCAAAAATTTGAAAACACTAATGCGAAAGGAAAAGCAAAGCAAATGGCATCACGTGCGCTAATTTACCTTTCATGCGCTTACTATCCATAATAAGTTTTTGGTTCTCCCGCAATTGTCTTAATTTTAATTTCCATCAATTACTACAGGTAGGTTTCACAGCAACAACCGTTTTCAACAACTGTCTTCATTCCGACAATAAGCAATGAGCGCGAAATATCTTTAAATTCGTACATAAATAAAATTTTGTTTGCAAATTTCTGTTGAGACTGATTTAAAGGGCTCCATTTAATTCGCGTAAGAGTGGTGACGAATAAACGAGGAATTCTAGCCATTTTGTCTTGGCACACTTTCGACACAAGACTCTAAAAGATATGCGAATATGATTTCAAAAAATTGAATAAATTTAATAAAAAATAATGAAAATAAATTACATGCCATTTATGATGAAAATCAATTTTATGATCGTCTTTATTATTTGTATGTTTTTTTTAAACTATTTATTTTATTCTGCATTAGGGATAGGCAACATTTTTTTGGCCGCGGGTCAGAGATATTTTCTTATTAAAACAGTTCTCTATTAAAAAATAACGATCTTGGATTTGTAACGTCAATTTAATCAAGTTTGGTGTGCAGTTAGTCGTTTTACGGCGAGTATAAGCATCTGAATTTTCGGTTTTTATGTTTTATAATTTATTTTATCTCGAAAATGGGAGTAAGTGAAAGCATGTGCTTGTAAACAATTAGAAGAATTAGAAGTCGTTTCATATAAATAGAAATATCATATAAATATAAATATATATAAAACATATATACATTTATGTATACATTTGATATCAGATACTACAGTGCTTTTTAAGTACTTTGCTTAAGATTTCCTTTAAAATTAAATCTTTTTAATACAGAAAGAAAATTTTAGAAAAATTACTTTATTTGTTTTTTATTATCCAATCGACAGCTTCACAAAAATTGTTTGCATATACATATTAAGACTTGATTGCAATTAATGTATATGCATATACATATCAACGTATCGAAATTCTTTTTTAGGTGTGAACAAGCGAAAAATGCTATTTGCTGTCTCTCTCAAATGCAATAAAATGAATAATGACACCAATAGTGCACGTTAGTCATCATCCGAAAAGGAAAATACTCCCATTGACCAAACTAGTGTTCCGCTTGTTTCTACGATCACTCTGCAAGATGAGTATGTATTTGAAGTGCTTACTAAGCCGCCAAAACACAAGGTATCATTTTCTATAATAATTACGAAAAGAAGTCACTTTCCCAAGTTACTTATAGATATACCAATATACCAATGTTCCACTTAAGGCCTCTAGTGTGAACAGTCATTTCGCCACTTATCGGTATCAGTGAACACCATCGTTGCTTTTTTACTAAATCTTGAGGGACGCTAATGGAATGTTTTCCAGGTCTCAATAGCCAAGTCAAAGAGCTGCCGCTTAATAAATAGAGATTGAGCATAACATTTTGCTCTTTGTATAGCGTATTGATATTCCCCATAATTTGATCAAACCGTCCAGATGTATCATGGAATACAATAATATCTCGGTACTGTAAAAATACTTTTATTAAGATCAAAGTCGAAAAGCGGACTATAACTTACATTTTGTGCTAACAATAATGGTCTAACAATGTCTAAAGCTTTTGTAAAGTCGGTGGCGTTCTGATCAGGGGTACGAATAAACTTTGTAACGTCGTTACAAAAATATGTTCTGCTCTCCTCGGTTATGGAATCAAAATCTCCGGTTATAAATTCTGGTGGCCTTAATGGCGGTTCACTTTCATTAAAACTTTTTACAAATTGGCGCCAGCGATTTGTGCCTCCATCAACGCAACATCTAATGTTAGCTTTTTTTTTTTTCATAAACATAAACAATACATCAATTTTTTATTTGTACAAGTTAATTAATATTTACCGTTTTGCCACAATTCTCTGACCACATTTTGAGGTGCACGTATTTCACGATTTAATACTAAGCAGGCATAACCGGTACCCATCGATTTAGGGCCAATTACCCGCTCCGTCTCCCATTCGTAACAATTGCTTGAAGTCCGTAGATCAACATCGCCATGTGTTGTGAACAATCTATCCATTCTTAACCACAAAAATAGTGCTTTTTTTATCAACAGCTGTTTTCTCTGCTTAAAAGGTTTCATCCCTGTTTAGAATTATCCAGCGGCAGCAACTATAAATTTCACGCAATTCAATTTTACTAAATTATATATTCACAGTAAAGTTCGATTTGCAAAAATCGCATCTCAAAGCAAAGAGAAGGAAGGAATGGCTACAGATAAAGCACTAGTTACTTTGACTCGCTGGACTCGCTGGAGAAAAATCAGTGATATGTAGATTAGGAAGTAAAGGAACAAACGACATTTCAGTTAAAGATAACGAATGCAAGGAAATTAAATAAACTTGAATTTCTTCTATTCAAATGATTGACGCGAATTCATTCGCAAGTCCGTGAATTTGAGCAGTTGAAAAATGCGAGTCCAGAGAATATATTTGCTCATCCAATAGTAATGTGAGGTCGAAAATTTAAGTTCTTAGCCGATTCTAGCGCAATGCGGATCTTTTACTGAAATCGAATCAAAAGAAAAGGTAGTCGATGATAGCTGCATCCTTCCGTCCAAAAAAGTTAATAATATAATAATATATTAATAAAATACGTGGGAGTGGCGGAATAAATTCCCCAAAGTGCATTAAGTTATGTATACATTAAAGTTTTCGATGGACGACAGTTTTGGTGGAACGAACGAGCCTATATTTTCAACTTAGGATTTTCGCAAGTGTTTGGTCTGCCAACTGGTTCTTTAAGATTTAAGCCTTTAAATTTATTTCTTTGGCTAAATTAGTACTAATAATAATGATAATTTTGTTATTCACAGCGAGCCGATGACACATACATCACACATACATCAGTTATTCACATAACTACAAAAAACATAAGTTCATATATTTATTTATTATAAAAAAAAAATTTGTTTTATTAATTAATAAAAGAGCACTCTTTCGAAGAGATTTTTAGATTAAGATCGAAATCTGACAACCCTAGTAAGCGGTTTATTTATGTTATAAAGGAGTTGACTCCTGGTGGAATTGCGGTTTATTAATAAATGTTTTTTATAATAAATGTTCGCTTTTAAGAGTTCAATTTAAATCAAAAAGTTTCAATTAAATGGAATAATGGATATCGAAGATGATACAATAATGGACGAGATTGAAACGGATGAGTTATATCAGCAGCAGGACTTCGAGTTTACGCGTTTATCAGATATGGTAAACTATTTGCTAACACATTTTTTAAATAAAAAAAATTAAATTTAATAAATAAATGCAATCAGGTTAGAAAACATTACCTGCAGTATTTGGAAAAACAATTGAATGAGAACTTTACAAATTGGCAAAAAGGACAAATGGATGGCTTGGAAAATTGGGAATCCATAAAACAAACAGCGGCAGTTTTGGAAGAAAAAGCTATAAAAGCTTGCATGATGGCTAAAATATATCAAAGACATATGGTGAAAATTGTAAGGTCGTGAAAAACTACTGTTCTATCACTTCCTTCTAAAAGTACGCTATTGATTTAATTAATTTCATTAGATAGCCAATGTCCGACAATACACACAAGAGAACCGTTTAGTAAATCAACTGGAAATGTTTTTGAGGGATCGGAAAGTGCAGGAAAATAATAAGTATCATCATAAAACTACACAAACTCAAGATAATAACGAAAATAATGAAGAGAGGACAGTAAAATTAAATGAACAACAGTATAAAAAGAGTTTCGCAAAAGTGTACGAAGGTGATTGTAAGATTGATAAACATACAATAAGTTTAGAGCAGAAAATTCAAATGTTTCAAGAACACTTATACAGAGAAAATACAATTAAAGCGGCCTCTGTTCTAAAAAAATCAATACCGCGGGCAGTATGCAGAAGGCCGCGCAAACGTTTAAAAAAATGCAGACTTATGACACCCAAAGAAGAACCATTGCAGAAGGATGAGGCAGGCTCTCATCTACCGGAAATAGTCACAAATCCCTCATTTCCGTCGCAGCCAATAGAAAGTAGTCAAAACAGCAACATAGTGCATGGAAGCGAAGTATGCGACATTCACGATACTGTGGCCTTGGAGCTGGCGCAATTGTTTAATGAGGAGAAGACTGAACTGGATGAAATTTTCGGTATAGATCCGAATGAAGAGCCCGATGATCCGCAGATTCGCCGCATACTCAAAGAAATCGAAAACGCTAAAATAAACGATAAAACAGGCGATACACCCACCCAACATAACTCGGATTGTAATCAAATTAAAAAGGATCCAGCACCTACACTAACTACAGCAAATTCCGCCAAGTTAACCCCTCTTCCGCCGCAAAACGACACAGTTACGCACAAATCAAGTAAGAATTCTGCCAACTGCACAGATCTCACTAAGAGTGAATGGCCTTGTGAATTATATATGCAACGCAGGAAATTAAGTGAGTCTTTATCCCGATTGGTAGATGAGGATTTCCGTTGGGTTGACATTATGAAGTGGAAATTTGCCGAACTGTTCGGTGAAGATAGTGATGACGAATTTGCCGCTTGTAGTCCCAGTATTGAATTAGATGAAGTGCTCATAAACAGTTGCGTGCGCCGCATATCGCCGTGGATGGTCAAACATCTTATGAAACCAATGAAAGATGGTTTAATTGGTAATCGATTCTTGTTTAAAAAATTAGGCAAACAATTGGCCCGTAAAATAATAATGGAGAATCAGTATCCAGGTATTTTGATTGTTTCTTATAGCATCTAACCAGCAATAATTTCAAATTTTATTCTAGATGAACCTTTTATTAGACGCTGTGTCGAAAATTTCTTTTGCCTGCATCAGGCTGTGATGTCGCTGGATGACATAGTTGATATAGATAATATATCTCTAGAATGTTAAGTCCGCTTAACTTGTTTGAAAATTTTAATATAAAATTTTAGGCAATCGTTCAAACCAAAAGCCAGTAGATTAAACCCTTTTTCCTAACAAATAATAAAAAAGTATTTAGTAAACTTACCACATTCACTTCTTCACTCAAGTCTACATGTTGCCACAACAGTTCATTTATTATGCATGTATTTTGCTTAGGCCGCACTTAAAGAAAGAAAAAGTTTCATCTTATATAACCCAAGAGAACGGGAAGAAGAAAAGGAACTACGTGAAAAAGCGAGTGAATAATAAAAAGAATATTGCTGTTGTGTTCACGAATACAATGATTTTTTATCCTTTTCTTTCATTTTTCTTTTTATAATTTATATAAATTTTTTAAATAGTTTTTCTTTCATATTTTATTTTTAAATAAACGAATATTATGTCGCAACTGCTGCTGTGCATACACATCCCTTAACATTATAATCCTGATTATCAATTATGATCCATTTCGACAAAGAAAAATCAAACAGACGAACATTTTGCAGGTGGCGCGCCTTGACTTCTATTTTTTTTTTTTTTTGCAAACAAATACGTCCTTGATTGATTGACTGATTAACATAAACATAATCCATGTGCATATAAATCCATAGATACTGACAAAGAATAATGCCCTCATCGCTGCCTTGATAGTATCTACACTTGTTGATGATGAAAGGCGACGTTTTACGTACACATGTATTTAATAATCTTGTTTAATATTTTGTTTGCTGCTGATGAAAAGTTACTGTAGTGGTCTTTATTTTTACGGCTATTGATGCTTTTAATTATGCTGCGTTTGATTACAATGTCGTTCTCGCTGTTGTAGTTGCAATTACTTTTTTTATTGTTAGTATTACTATACTTTTTGTTGTTGTTGTTGTTGTTGCTGTATTTATTACGGTTGTGTTGTTTGTGTGGTTGTAAATTGGCGGGACAATGAGGATGATAACACTACCTAGTATCTGGTATTTGATTTGTGTTTGCTGCCGATATTGCTTGTGTCGCCGTAGGGGCAGCTGCACTTTGTTTATATTTTTGCGTAGACTGTTGCCCTGGCTGTTGCGGCTGCGAGCTGGTGGCGCCTCCGGCCGCAGCAGGAGGTCGTCCACGCCGTTCAATACCTTTATCTGCCGCGCCAATATTGCCGCCTGTTGCCGACTTACCAGCTCCGGCGCTAACAGCTTTCTTTTTGCTAGTGTTAAATGATGCTTGTGTCTGTTTATACTCTTCAACAAAATCTTCAGGCGAGGTTTGTTGTTGTTGATGAACTTGTTGGCGTCCACCTATTCCTCCGGTACTGTTTGCGGTTTGTGCAGATGCATCTGCGGCATTATTATTCATCATCGACTCTCGCACATCATGTTCAGAATTACTATTATTTGCATTATTAGTGTTGCTTGTGGGCGAAGCCTTTTCATTATTTACATTATCACTATTGGTGGTCTCTTGCGATTCACCGCGTTCATGTTCCTGATCTGATTCACTCTCTAACGATGAACAAGCTAAGGTTGATAGCAGCAAAGCTTGTACGAATTGAGACCTAAAAATTAAATTGAAATGACGTATATTCAAACTTTGTTTATTATAAACTTACCGATCGGCGCGTTCTCTGCCAATTTCAGCTAATTCGGCGTCACTTAAAATCGGTTGCATAAGTTTCGTGAGCAAGAATTGCGATTGCGCTCCCTCAACAACATTACCGGGACCGTTAATTGCTGGCCCACCAGCGACGTTGTTTGTACCGGATCCGCCACTAACCATGCCAAACGAGAAACCACCATTGTTGGTGCAAAGACTGCTGCTACCAGGCTGCAGAGTATTCATACCAAATTTTTTTGGAAATGAAAGGGATATCTAAATTGCAACATTACTTCTCTGGTGTTAAGTGTGTTTGCATTCAAATTTGATTGTTGTGATTGCTGTTGCCCAGATACCGACCACTCATTGGTACGACAGGAACCGCTGCTACCGCCTCCATTTGCACTACCAGTACCAGGGGCACCGCTTATTACTTCAGCCATGGTGGCGTTCGAATTCGATGAAGAGACCATTTGATGAGCACGTCGGGGTAAACGCTCTAATTGTTGGCGTGTGGCCTGCAATATAAGTAAAACAGAACTATTTAGTACTTAGCTCGAGAGAAAAACTATCAAAATTATATATAATTGCCGTCACTTGTTGGCGTTCCATTTGAATTTGCATTTGCAATTGTTGTAATTGAGAAGTTGGCGGGCCACCACGTCTTACACCCGACAACTGTGACAGGAGCTCTGCAATTGGGTCCACCGATTCTCGCCCAGACGGAGATAATGCTGAGAGACCGCTTGATGAGCTAAAGTGCATATTAGATCGGCGTGCACGTGGCACTCCGCCTATCGTACGTCCAGGAATACGACGCACTCCACCCCCATGTCGTATAGCTGAGGGTTCATCGTGCACAGAGAGTTAAGTTAAAAACCATTTGAAAAAAATTTTTCAGCTAATCATTCCTAAGCGTACATCAAATCTTTAAAAAACTTTCATCTGGAATTTTCATATCAATTAACAAGCAATATGTTACAAATGAACTGTAGAATTCAACAAAAAATTGCAGACTTCAAACATGAGATCGACTAACACATTACAACGAAATGTTCGCAGTCCATTAAGAATTTTCTTCATAAACAAAGAGCAATTTTGCTCACTTTTCGAAATTCTTGCACGAATTCTTCTATTCTATATAGAAATGCACTTAAGAAAATAAGAGAAGACAGAGATAGTTCTATGATTTCAGAATTATACATAAAAACGTGCCAAAACTAATGAAAATCTTAACGGCGGGAATAAAAATGCGTTTGAAAAGGATATTAGAAATGAAATCAATTCACGTGGGCCGGTACGATGTTCCAGTGATAGGTGACCAGCAAAATCATCTGTGACTAGATTCGGTTCTCCGCCTGGTAATCCAGCGCATACGGGACATACCACTTCTAAACTGGTCTCCGTATGTTCAGCAGATACGTGTTCTAATAAAGTAGCATCACTAAAACCCATTTTCTTACAGTATGGACAGGTAAAGCTTTGTGGCTGCTCAGAATTGAGCATTTCACCACCAAAAAAAAGCTCAATATCGGAGCGCGTTAGTATGCATTGCATAGGATGATCGACCAAATGGCGTGTTGATGTGACGCCTTCCTCATAGCAATCGGCACATAGATCATAATCGTAGCATATTAAACATTTATAGCGACGTCCATTAAAGTTAGACTTGAGACAAGAATCGCAACTGACTCCTAAAAGCAAAAGTAAGGATACAAACCAACTTAAAATATTTATTGAAATATTGCCTAGTTTTGCTTACCTTCATGACGGCTCATTATTATGTACTTGAAAATTTGTTCTAGTAACCACCACCTCCGCGTGCTCCCGCTACGATTACAAACTCTTGTCTAAGAAAACGCCCGCAGCACCTGTTGTTGTTGGTCTTTGGATTTTATTTTTTTATACGTTTAAATTAAACAATTTATTTTTATATTACAATTTTATTTTTGGAAATTAAGAAATTCTTATAAAGTATTTCAATGAATGCTGTTAATAAGTAATTCAAAATTATTCAACTTTTTAGCAAATTTCCTTTGTAACAATTTTAACTGCAAATAAAAAAAAAAAACTAAAATAAATCAAAAGCAGAAAGTTCGCTACAATTAATTTGGTTTTAAGCTACATTAAATTTTTTTAATGTTGAAAATATTTTTACTCTGCTAGTATCAATCAGGGTCATTAGGGATCCATTATGTTTAAGATAACCACATTTGTAAAAAAACAGGAAAAGTGTTATTTTTCATCCCTTATAACTTTTCATAATATATTTTATTTTCTCAATCTTATTTTACCGTTTCATTAATCACATTGTACTTTTTGTTTCCATTAGAAATGGCCACATACCATTAAAAAATACATACACACACAATCGTGAATAACAAACTTTCTTACACAAAAGACAGTGTTTCCCGTTTTTCCCTTAATTTTCTCGCTAAATTAGTACTTGAAATTGACAACCTCTACATTAAAAAAAAAAAGTAAATAATTTGTGTAGTCTGTTTACGGGAATACATATAAAAGTTTAACAAATAGGTGCTTCTTTTTAAATTTATCTAAAAGAAGATATTTCCTGTCGTTACACTCTTTTCAACAATTCCACTTTTAAATTTGTTTCTAAATATTCGAATAAGAATTCATGGATTTTTGGTTATAATAACAGAAGATTAAGATTTCTCGAGGAAAAAAAGAGATGCACGCGAGGACAGGCAAGTACAAAAAAACTACGAACGATGAAAATTTTTACGGACAAATAAATATGCGCTGCCTTTGTTTTCACCAGAATGAGAATGATTTTTATTTTCCACTTATTATTGCCATTCGAAGAATGCAGTGTAATTTTATTTGTTCCTTTTGATTAAATACAACGATATTTTTAACTTTTTCTTTCTCTACAAAAAACTAATATATTTCTTTTTTCTACTCGTGAATGACGTTCGTTCGATGTGCTGTAGACAGCAGACGAAGATTGTTCGTTTCAAGTGTTGTAAAATGATACAAAATAATTTTTTCTCCTCAGAATTTTTTTCTATAAGTGCATAGGTTCTCTTCTACAATTATTTCAAGAAAATATATTTTTTGAATAGCATCTATATATATGTTTATAACTTTCTAAAAGCTTGTAATTTTTAAATAATCCTATCGATATTCCAATTACAACTCTGTTCATATCTTTTTAATAACCCCATTTGTAACCTATATCTGCGAAGTTGCAATTAGAAAAAAAAAAAAAATGAAGGAGGAGAAAAATTGCACTTGGGTATATTTTAAACAAATAAATTAATTGACGCACGCCGTGCATATTCCAAGATGTGAATTTATTTTTCTTCGCTTTAAAGTAATGCGCTTCAATGGTGGAAATATGAATACGGACGATTTTTAATCGTAGGCTACGCGAGAGTAAATTTAATTGCTTTTCATATCATAATCGCACAAACACTATTAAATAACAATTTTCTGGCTTTTTTTCTAATTTTTACATTCAAATGTTTTTAGCATGCCACTGTCCCGATATTGGAAAATATGTACAATTTGCCCACTTATTTTATTTGCTTATTTTTTATGCTCAATGCGCGTAATACGACTAACGTTTTTCCTTATTTTCTTCTCTACCCCATTTTCATTTCGATTAACATGCCGAATGAAAAGTTCACTCTTTTCTTCTACCGAATATATGGTTACATGCAATGCACATAATCATATACATATTTTCTTTTTAATTTCTCATTTTTATATTTTTAATTACTACATACTTTTATATACTCTTAACAACTCGAAATTGTGTATGCTTTATAGTTACTTTCTTCAGTAAGAATTGTGTGTAGGAAATTATAAATTAACAAAAAATTTGAAGTAAAGTCAAACAATTTATTTTTTTTATTTCGAAACGAAGTTTCTTAGTTTCAAAGTTGTGAAAGTTGAAAAATTTGTCTCATTTTTGATATGATTGCCACAAATGGGACAGAAAATATTTTTTTTAGGAAAACATTAATCTGGCTGCACTTTTTATGAGAAAAGTAAAAATTATGGGCTAATATATTTTTCTACATTATCCGTTATCTATAGGGTTAATTAGGGATAAAGGTAAATTTATGGAAAAGCGACATTAAAAATTTTAGAAAACGTTGCAACGACAAATTTGGATATTCAGAAGAATTTTTTAAAGCTATTTCTAACTTTTTGCCATCCTAATCATTTCTTAATGAATAAAATATTCAAAAATTCGCAATATGTATGTATGAGATCGTTTGTGTGAATAACAGTACTGTTAAAACAAACACTGTTTTTGTATATGAATATTGTTGTTATAAAGCGTTGCAAGGGCAGTGCAAAGAACTCAACAAAATTTTTTCGAAAGTTCGCCGCCAGATTCCAACAAGTTTGTCGTTTAACTTTTTTATGCACTGCAAGAAAGTTTACTGTGTATACGCGAAAAGTAATGACAATCGAAATATAATAAGATAAGAATAATCCTTCCGTTTTTCTTCGTTTCCTATACTGTATAATGGATTTAAAGTTAAAAAAGGAAAGAAAAGCCATAATATGCTCCATTTTTTTTATAAACGGTTTATCTATTTATTT